TCGGTTCCCGCTTCTCTGGGTCGCTCCTGCATCGCGGCCTCCTTCCCTTGGCTCCCAAAGAGTGGCTGAGAGATTCCAGCTGAGACTGAGTTGCAGTGGGGGAATGACGCCCCTTGGCGAGCTTGAGAGTGTAACTGAGCAAGTGCACTCATCAGCCAGGCCCAGCTGCGACTTCACATCAGCCATTGGCAATGATTGGGAAGGCTCCTCCCTACAAGCTGAGCTTTGGGGTTTGTATTGAGTGTGGCAGGAGGGCTTGGGAGTATCCTCACGGTATTGCTTCAGCCTTATGATCTATACTTTTCACATCTGAGTTTTTATATTTCATATCTTGTTATTAAAGGTTTTCGTTTGCTTTTTTTTTCTGTCATGGGTTTGACTACTTTCAAAAACATTTTTTTTTCGGTCTTAAATCCTATAGCACAATGTCTGAACAAGAGCGTATACAGGACTGTCTGAGGAAAGAGATAAGGTCACTTCTTATTTCCACTAAAGATGGTCTGACCCCACAACAGTTGGAGAAGGAGTACCTTTTGATGGTTGGTAACCATCTACCTCTCCGAATCCTTGGATATCGGTCCACGATGGAACTGGTGTTGGATATGCCTGATGTGGTTAGCGTCTGCCCCTGTGGGGATGGTACCGTAATACTGAAAGGTACGTTTAAGACTTTGGAAGGTCTGTAAGCTTTATAATTAAAACATGTCATGCAATAGATTGTTCTAGCTGTACAGTTATCCAGTATCCCAGGGCGGTGGAGGTCATCGGGTTGTGGGCAAAAAGAGAGCAAAGGAAAAACAAAAGAACAACATCCCCCCAGTCCCCTCCAGAGAAATGGATATTGCACAATTTCAGATTACTGATTTTTAAATTCAGTAAATTTAAATTTTTAAAACTCATTTTAAATTTCATGGAGCATGAAAATGCCATTGCAGGCAAGTTTGGGCTTCAGTTCTAGAGTCTGAAAACTTGCAGGCGCCAGGTAACAGTAATAACACAGTGGGTCTTTGCATCTTCTGGTAGAGGCGTTAGGAAGCTGTTGTTCAGAATGTAAAAATGATGGAACTTGAGCTTTGTGTTACGCTACCTACATAAACAGCTCCTTGGAGACTTAAAAATTGTGTGTGCAGTTGCAGTTACAAAGAATAAATGGAGTATATCTTTTATCTGAAAGTGATTCTTCTCCCCCCCCCCCCATATTTCCTTAGCCATTCCAGATGAATCCACTAAAGGAATAGCAAGTTTAGTTGCAAAGCAGAGGAGGAGCCATAAGGTTCGAAACTCCATGCAAAAGGGAAGGACGAGTGTTTGCTCTGGCCGGGTGCCTTACCGTGGAAGGGTGCCCCCAATCCTTCCAGCAGTTGTGAAGAGTGAGTTGAAAGATCTCCTGGCATTGTCTCCTGTTCTCCTTTCTGACTTCGAAAAGGCATTTGCCAAGCGGTTCGGACGGTCCTTTCAGTACATGCAGTATGGATTCCTCTCTATGTTTGAAGTGCTCAATGCAGCTTCAGATGTCATTTCTGTAGAGCAGACCAGAGCAGGTTCTTTGTTGACACTAAAGAAGACTGCATCAGAGGAAAAACAGAGAGGATGGCCAGCAGGTAAGTTCATGGTTGGCACTGGAAATTGGGTCATGCCCACAGACTCTCAAAAATATGGTCACCTAAACAAGATCCCACAAGTACAACCACAGTTGATGCCTCAGTGTGATGGGGGACATCTCAGAAGGCTCCACCCCAAGATGAAGAGTTGCAGGCAATTAATGGCTGCTGAGAGAGAGAATGAGTTTTTCCAGAGACAAGTCCTATGATGGGTTTTCTTTCCTCCTCCTCCTCCTCCTCCTCCTCCTCCTCCTCCTCTTCCTCCTCCTCTTCCTCTTCTTCCTCTTCTTCCTCCTCTTCTTTTTTTTTTGTGCAGCAGCTCTGGCTGTCCTGGAATTTGCTCTGTAGACCAGGCTGGCTTTGAACTCTCAGAGATCTGCCTGCCTCTGCCTCTCAAGTACTGGGATTAAAGCTGTGCTCCACCACTGCCCAGTTTATGAAGGGTCCCGAGCAGTCAGCCCTAAATATATTTACATGTGAGCAACACCAGATGAACTCAGCAGGCTGTATTTATATACCTTTGTGTGCATCTGTGTGGGGGGGCATGGAAAGAGAGGGGAGAGGGAGCAGTAGAAATGATACAAATACAGTATTCATATATGAAATTGTAAAAAAAAAAGTTAAATTAGAAAAAATAATTGTGGGGCTTGAGGGATGGCTCAGCAGGTAAGAGAACCAACATTCAGTATCCCGCACCCTCATGGCAGCTCAAAGTTGTCTGTAACTCCCCTTACAGAGGATCTCAACCTCTTTTCTGGCCTATGTGGGCACCAGCCAGCTATGCATGTGTTACACAGACATACATGCATACACATGAGATATTTTTTAAAATGATTGTTCTGTAGATGAACACATGTTAGAACAATCCTGGCATATATGGAAAGGGAATTGAAGGGTTAAACTCCATGAGTTTGTTCAAGTTAAAAGCTGTGTTCCACTTGCAAGTTGAATAAACTTAGGCAAATGAGTTAGTTGATCTGTATAAACTGTGGTCTCCAGATCTCCAAAGTACATATAATACATGGGATTTGGAGTTGTGCTGAGGACCTTACATGAGACAAGGTCTGTAGAGAGCTTGACATTTAATAAGTTTACACTATGTGGTAGATGGGGCTGAGAGTAATGTAATCATCACTCTAGGCCCTAGACAGAATACACACTGGTCAGAGAAGGGAAGCCCATTGCAGAGAATTTTATGCCTGTTGCTCTGACCCCTTTCTCCAAAGTCTATTTATATGAGAGTGAGTGAGCCATGAGAGTCTGTCATGCAGTGATTAAACTGGTGGGTGATGTAGCTCACTCTGCCTGTCCTGGAACTGTGCAGGAGGTATGTGCCTCAGCCTTACCAATGTGCTTCCCTCAGGGACTCAGACTTAGGAAGACTCAGTTGTGCTGTCAACCTTACAGGAGTTGGGTGTGTAAGGAAGTGGTTGAGCACTTGACCAGCACGAGCAAGGCCCTAGGTTTGTTCTTCAGCACTGGAAGAAAACAGACAAAAACCGTATTATGGGAAGCAGTTTGAACCCATTTCCTCAACAGTGGGAGTGTATATTCCTTCCTGGTGATTGACTTGTCCACACTTCCCACCTTGGCTCATCTCCCATATCTTCAGGAGTAGTTGGTATATTTGGTGAACTTGATCTTGGCGTAAAGAAAGCACTGGGCAGGCTGTGATGATTTTCAGGGATACATGTTGAACTCCAGAATACACTTCCTGATATTGATGAGAACTTGTATTTTAGGACTGTATCATACCTGGTAGCATTTCCTCCTCCTTTTCTGTAAAATGTGATCACCCACCATGAGAAGCATAGTTCTATGCAAACTTTTTAGTTGGACAGTGTCTGTCTGGTCTTTGAAATGAAATACAGTTTTAAAGGTTTTTACCTATAAAATGCTACAAGGTTATATTAAGGTGACCTTATATGGAGTTTTAGAGAGCAACAGTCTTTTCAGGAACATGGTTTCTTAGTATTTTTTTTAAAAAATAAACTACTAATCCCATAGTAAGGAAGTTTTATTGACTATATACATTTTCCCTTAATTTTTCTTCTAAGTTGAGGGCTGTTAGCTCACAGTAGTCTTTTTCTATAAAAATCTCTGGGAAATCATTGGTCACTATTTGTTTTTTCTTTTTTCTTCACAAAAGGTAAAATTTTTGCTCAGCCATTTAGAATGAAACAACAGGGGTCATATTCTACTGGATTCCCAGTAACAAAGACACGCTTTTCACAACCAACTTCAAGTGTGGAACCACCCAAACCAGTACTGAACATGGAGAAGATGCCCACATTTAGTGCAGTGGAGACTTCAAGACTGAACCACACGGAAAAATTAAACCAGGTAAGATGCTGGAGCCCAGGGACAGAGCTATGACAAAAATAAGCTTTTGAGCTCAGTGTGTTGTTACTTGGACCTGGTGGGAAAGTTGACCTTTTAAAAGTTAAAACCTGGAGCTGGAGAAGCGGTACAGTTCTTAAAAGCATTGGCTGCTCTTGCAGAGAACCCAGGTTCAATTCCCAGCCCGTGGTGGCTCACAACCCTCTAACTTCAGTTGCAGGGGATCTGATGTCCCCTTCTGGCCTCTGCAGGCACCAGGCCACAGACATACATGCAAGCATTCACCTATACACATACAACAGTAAAATAATTAAAACAAAAGATTGACACCAGCCATTCATTGACTGTAGGTGTCACTTACCTGTCCCCTGGTCACAGTGATTAGAAAAGGAGAGAGCAGAGGTTTTATCAGCTACATTGTTTCTGGGAGGTTTGGGCAGAAACCTCCATGTCTGCCTAGTATCATTTGATTTTATGCTGGAGAATATATCTAATAATCATGTTAGGTATCTTTATGCACATAGTTGACATTTGTGCATTATCTTTGAAATGTCAGAGTCACTTGCTCTTTTACAATATTGGGTTGCCATTTTATTGAAATGGAAGAACTCGTATATTCCGGGTATAAGTCCTTTAACATGAACATGTAATGAGTACATTTTCTCCTGGTCAATGGTTTGACTCTTTAAATTCTTTTTTAGATACATTTATTTTATTCTGTGTGTATGAGTGTTTTGCCTGTATGTATGTGTACCGTGTGAGTGCCTGGTGGCCATGGAGGTCAGAAGAGGTGTCAGATCCCCTGGAACTAGAGTTTCAGATGGTTGTGAACCAGCAGGTAGGTGGGTGCTGGGAACTGAACCTGGTCTTCTGCAAGAGGCAGTATCTTAACCACTGAACCTTCTCTCCAGCCCCACTCTTCCTTTCCTTAATCTTGTGTTTTGTAAAATTGAAGTCTTTGATTCTGACAACCTATTTTTTTTCAGCGTTTTCTCATATGACTCTTGTTTACCTAATAGATCTTTGCTGGATGCAAAATAGCGATAAAATTCTTCTATATTTTTTCTAGGATTTTTGATATTTAGAAAATATATTTGGGTCTATTACCAATTTCAGATTAATCTTTGTGTAATATGGCAACTGTGAAGTTTTCTCAATTAAGGATAGCAGCATGGTGGTGCTGTTTGCTGGACAGGCATGCTTTCCATGGTGAAATGCCTCAGGACCTGCTGATGCCTGAACTCTGCCACTTTATGTAGCTTGAAGTTATAAGATTGAGTCCTGCGATTTTGTTCTTATTTGTGGTTGTTTTGGCTCTTCTACATTTTTACATTTCTATATATATTTAATTGTGTATAAATCTGACTTTTTATCAAAAATAAATCTCATGGTTTTGATTAGAATTGCATTGGATATTATAGGGGAGTTTGAGGAAAATATTGTTTTAATACTAAGTCCAAGAATTCAAGAAAATAGCACACTCTTCATTTTTATCTTAAAATTCTCTCAATAATGTATAACAGTTTTCTGTGTATATGGCTTGCATACATTTTATTAAACTTACTTCCATACCTCTCATTTTTATTGTACTAAAGATATTTTCAAGAAATCATTGCTAACATATAACCTGTATCAACCTTGAGTCAAGGTACTTAATAAGCTTGGTTTGACTATTCCTATCATTCTGGTGGCTGTTTTGTAGGGGTGAGGTTTTTCTCAAAGCTCATGATGCCACCTAGTTGAAGAGAGAGTTCTACTTCTTTTTTATTTTTAAGTGTATGTGTGTTTTGCCTGCACATATGTCTGTGCGTCATGTGTGTACCTGGTACATTCAGAGACCAGAAAAGGGTGTCCGATCTCCTGGAACTGGAGTTCCAGGTAGTTGTGAGCTGTCATGTGCCATGTGTGTGCTGGGAACTGAACCTTGGGAAGGAAGCCAGTGCTTTTGTTTTCTGTTTTTTTGTTTGTTTGTTTGTTTGTTTTCAATACAGAGTTTCTCTGTGTAGCCTTGGCTGTCCTGGAACTTGCTCTGTTGACCAGGCTGGTCTTGAACTCAGAGATCCACCTGCTTCTGCCTCCCAAGTGCTGGGATTAAAAGTATGCATCACCACGGCCAGAGCTCTTAACCTCTGAACCATCTCTACTGCCCCAGTTTTGCTTCTTTTCAATATATCTGTCTTCTCTCTCCTTACACTTAGGCTCTTTAATATGAAGAGAAGTGGTGGGAGTGGAAATTCTTGCCTTGTTCCTGACTCAGGGTGTGAGCGAGTGCGTTCGTGCATGCGTGCATGTGTTCATTGGGTGTGTGTGGAGAGGGTGATGGTGGGCATCTTCCTCAGTCGCTGTCTGCCTCTCAGATACTCACCCGCCCTCCTCTTCAGCTACGTTTTTAGGAGAGGACTGTACTTCCATATTCCCAGAGCACTAAAACTGCCACCACCCTATGCCCAGCCCTTCCCCGTCCTGCCATTTCTTTCATCCTTTGCTTGTGTTACGTAAAGGAGCTTCCCCCACTTCTCTCTAGGAAAGGTCGTTCATTCACTTATGCCCTGACTCGACACTCCTGCTTCCTTTCAGGAACCTTCCAACAGCCCATGCCTCCCAGGCATTAGGCAGCCACTAAGTATTTAATAAATACCAAGTACTTTAGAAAATGAATGGCAAGCATCTTTTCTGGACAAGATTATCCGATTAACTGAAGACTGCAGAATCTGGTACAGATAATGCTGTTGTTTATTGTGGAACATTCCTCAGTGTTTAGTTTCACACAATTTCTATTTGCATTTTTGATATAAAATGTCTCAGCGCTACTTAAAATTTTATTATTTAACTATGTGTATGTATATATGTCTGTGTGTGAGTGTATTAATGTGAATGTCGGTGCCCACAGAGGTCAAAGTCTGGGAGCCAAACTCAGATCCTCTGCAAGAGCAGCAAGTCTTCTTAATCACTGAGCTATCTCTGTGACACTTGGTGTCACTTTTTAAGAACAGGATTTGACTCATTTGATTGAAATACATTTCCTTTTATAAATTGCTGGCATTTATCTTTGACTTTTTAGTGATTTGACTTTTTCTTTTATTCATAGTTGGAGAACACATTCAAATCAGTTATTGCGCAAATCGGACCTGGTGGGACTATTGATCCAGATCTAAAACATAAGATAAAATTTGTAAGTATTTTCCATATCTGGGAAACAAAAATAATTGGCTTTCATGTCTAGTTGAATTCAACTGCCTACAATGGTTATTGTAACACAAATAATAAAAACCCAGAGACAGATATTGGGGTTCAAGCTGAAGATCAGAAAAGCAAAGCAGCCAAGCCAGTAGCTGTTGTCTCTCAAACAAGTTGAAATGACAATCCTGTCTCCACGAATCCTCAGAGGCTTTAAAAGCTCTGAGTTCCTGTCTCCTCCCATCTTATAATCCTCTCTCTCCCCAGCCATATCACTCCTGTCTCTACCTCCCTAGTGCTGGGCATGAGCTCTGTTACTCTTCAGACTGATTCATTCTCCTGTAGCCCAGGGTGGCCTTGGACTCACAGAGATCCATCTGCCTTTGTCTCCTGAGTCCTAGGATTAAAGGTGTGTGCTACCACCACCTGGCTTCTATGGCTAACTAGTATGGCTGCGGAATTTAAGGTATGTATCACCACTGCTTGGCTCTATGGCTGTGGCTAGCTTTGCATTTTGATCTCTAGTGGCTTTATTAAATCATAAATAATATATCACCACAAGTTATTGCTTTTGTATTTATACCTTACCTTTTCTAAAATTACACACACACACACACACTGATTTTTAAATCAGGAAAAGCAATAAATAAAATTGTACTGAAAATTTCAATGTGAAATCGTTAAGAAAATGATTCTTCCACAAATATTCTTTTCCCTCCTTTTCATCCATTGCTCAACAAATCATTGTTGACAAATAGTTTAAGATCTTTCTAATCCAGTTCTAAACTGTTCTAATCCAGTTTTCTTTCCTGCATACAAGTAATTTGTATAGCCCAATGTGCTTATGTTCCATCTTTCACTTAGGAGGAACTGTGAGGGGTTGAAGTTCAAGTTGCTTTGGACCTTGACTATTTAAACAGTTCTGCAGTTGAAGTCCCTTGAAAATTTAGGTATTACAAGTTGCCATCAGAAGCACTAAACATTTGATTTGTTGGAGATAAAATTTACTACTAATTACTACTGTATTATTAGTGTATGGAAACCCATTGGTTGTTAGAAATTGGGCCAGAGGGTGTAGTATGCCTTGAGGATTTTGGTCCTGATGATCTGTGTAAGCAAAATGCTATTCTAGCTCTCACTGTGGTACATTATCTCACTTCAGTTACTGTGACTTTGATGAGAGATAGGTAAAATCGATACTCAGGCATAAAATCGATACTTCTCTTTGTTGTTTTTGAAACTTGAACATGTGCCTAACAATTGTTTGTTCAAGGATGTTCATGATTAATACAGCAGAAAAAAAAAGAAAAAAAAGAAAGGACACATTAAACTAAGGATTGCCATGTGGATCCTAAGAGTTTGTGCATGTCACCACTGGTTTCCATGGCAATGTGCCTTGCACAGGTTACTGTCCTGAAGCAGGGTTTACAGACTGCCATGGTCGGCATTGTCCTTTTGAGTGAAATGATGAGCGATGGAGCATGACTGTGTGGCCTTCTAAAAGGATGTTTTCTGAAATGCAGCAGTGGCTGTCTCTTGGTCACAAGATTTTAAAGGGATATTTACTTTATATTTTCCTTTGATGTGTGAATTAGAATTTTATATAAAATATATTTAGAAGATTTAGAAAGGCACAAAGTTTTTTATACTGTGTTAGAGTTAAAACAAGTCTAGATCTAAAAGTGATACAAATATGCAATGTAAAATAATTTATGATGGTAATGTTTTCTGAAATGGAAACCAATTTTGTCTCTTAATATTCCAATTTTATCTGTTTTATTTTCTGTTGATTAGGTTGTATCTAAGTTTCCACAAGGTTTATTTATTTCTAAATTGCTTGGAGAATTTGAGGTAAGTGTTTTCTTCTCACCAGCCTAGTCTTTGTACTGCTTAATTTTCTTATGATAGACAAATTTTGCCACTATTATTGGATCCTTTAAGTCTGTGCTGTTAACACTTACAACACCTTGTTTTGTGTTTTAGTTGCTTTTTTATTATTATGATAGTTAAAGATATGTCCAGTAACAAGTATTTGGTTATGGATAGGAAGAATATTTTTACTACTTACTGTTATAACATTGAAATAGTGATTAGCATATTTTTTAAAGAGAGTCAGTACCAAGAAGTGTAAAAACACAACACCCCATAGTCTTGATTTTTATATGCAGTAATAGTATCAAGAATGAAGGCACTATAAAGACATTTCAGATAATCAAAAGTAGAGTAATGTAAATAGACCTGTATTGTAAGAAAAGGTAAATAATATACTTTAGGCAGAATGAAATGATGCCGGATTAGAACTTGAGTCTTCAGGAAAGCTTGAAGAACAAAGGATAAAGTAAACACATCTGATAGACAGCTCTTTACCAGTTAAAACATATTACTGTTTAAAGCAAAAATGATGGCCTCCAGCTGGGTTTAAAACATGAGGATAATGTACTACATATGAAAACTGTAGCATAAATCAGTGGACTGGGGCTCTGAAAAAGAAGGGGTGTGGGAGTAGAACTGTATCAACTTCTTTATCGCTCATTGTTGGGAGCCAGTAAAGCAGAAAGCATACCAAAAGAGTTAGAATAAAATACATCTGACATATCCATGAATTGACTCAGTTAATTATAAAGTACACTTAAGCTGTGTTTCATATAATGACCTTTATAGCAATTGAAAAAGCAAGATGCATGACTTACATATATCTTATATTGAAGCACGCTTACATTTTGACAATCTCTGGAAAGTTATACAAAAGTGGTAACAATAGTTATTTCTAGGGAAGTGATTACTAGGTGACTGGAGCATTTGGGGGTGAGCAAAGACTTGTTTTTTTTATGAATGAATTTTTCATTTATGAGAAATTTCACCATAAATTTATTGTTGAAATAGTTTATCCTTTTGCAAACACACACACACACACTTTGATTACCCACATCATCCATTTTGTCCTCTTCCCCATCTTGAGACTTGTTTTTGTTGAATATTTGCTTGGACCTTTTGAATATACTATGAAAAGTTGTTCATTTGGGGGCTGGAAAGATAGCTTGGAGGGCCCGAGTTCAGTTTCCAGCACCCATGTCAGGAGGCGTATAACAGCCTATTTCTCCAGCTCCAGAGGATCCAACACCTCTGGCTTCTCGGGGCACTGGCACTTGTATACCCGCATGCAGACACAATTATAAAAATAAAATCTAGAAAACAAAGCAGTTACTTGTTTATATTTTTCTCTCCACCCTAGTTTTATGTTCAGTTATATTTTCACAGTAACACAATTATTTGGGAAACTATTAGAGACCGATAAACATAAAAGGAAAAGAAGTTTTACTATGTGACGTGAAGAAATAGAGATATTAATTCTAATTTGCCACCACCCCTGCCCTGCCCCACCCCAGCCCACCCATTTTTTCTTTGGTTTGCTGATGGCTATAAATGATGATCTGACTGACTCAGGGACCCCTGCTTTCACAAGTGTTCTGTGGGAGAAGTCATAAAGAAGCAAGAGGCAGATCAGAGAGAGTATCATGTGACAAGGTCTGTTCCACAGCTGTGCCACCCTGTGAGGGGCCAGTCCTTTATAGTGTTGTCACCCCAAGGAAGTGATTAGCTCAATTGCTTCATGTTGGTTCAAAGATGAACTTGGTGTTAGGAACAGCACAGATGTGTGTGCTTGTGTGTGTGTATATTCTCACATGTATGCATGTGTATGTGGCTCCTAGAGGTCGGCCTTGAGTGCCATTCCTCAGGAGCTGTCCACCTTGTGTCTCTCTGGGACCTGGGGTTCAGTGGCTGGGCTAGATTGGCTGCCAGTGAAACGGGCTTTTATGCGTGAGTTCACTGAACTTTAAGTATCTAGGTTGACAAATTCCAAACTAAAGCCTTGCTTTTCTGTTTTTTGTTTTTTTGTTTTTTTTTGTTTTTTTTTTTTTGTTTTTGACAGCTAATTTTTAAAGAGCAACTTTCACCAAAACAGTTAGGATTCTTAAATGTGACAGAACTTGTTGGAGCTCTTAGTGACATTCTCCGTGTTGAGTTCAGTGAAGAAAAGCAAGACTTGCTAGTGTTTGATGCTGACCTGAAGCCTGTACCACCTGGTGAGTTAAATTGGTATAATACAAACCTCCCTTTTAATTGTGCCTTTGAGGACAAGGAAGAAGAAAGCATTAAGAGTCATCATCAGAATCACTTGACCCAAACACATCACAGTTAGCCAGGAAATGTTTAAATAGTGACCACCTTCTTAGTGATCTTACAGCAAAGTTAACCTGTATTATTAGTTTAAAAAATGAAATTTACAATTTAACTTATTTTTATTTATTTAATTTTTGGGTGTTTGAGACAGGTTTTTACTCTGTAGACCAGGCTGGCCTGGGACTCACTGTGTCACCCCAACTGGTCTTAAGCACATGGAAACCCTCTTGCCTCAGTCTCCTGAGTGCTGAGATTACAGGCATGAGCCACCATGTCCAGCAATTTCTCTTCTTTTTTAAAAATTTATTTTATGTACATGGGCATTTTGTCTGCATGTGTGTCTGTGTGCAACATGTATGAGAAGAGGGTCAGAACCCCAGGAACAGGAGGGTACAGACAGTGGAAAGCTGCCATGTAGGGTGGGAATGGAACTCCTGTCCTCCGGAAGAGCAGTCAGTGCTCTTAACCACTGGGCATCTCTCCCGCCTAGTTCTTTATTGTCCAGTTATTAGTAATTCTGAAGGAATAATTCTGAAATGTTTGTTAGATAAGTAACGCTTGTCAGGCTATGTGGAAGAAGCTGTTTACACTTGGAGAGTCAGAACATGACATATGTGATTTTTACAGTAAGTAAACTCCAAATCAATTTTTCTAAAAATGTCCCATTTTTCTGTTTCTGTGTTTACTTTAGGAAACCACATTGGATCTAGAGCATTGTCTTTTGTTTCTCTCTCTCTCTCTATAGTTGTTTTTCTTTAAGAATTTTTACTGAGGTAACTTTATATGATCATGCAGATAGAGCCCATGAGTGTGTCCTGTACTCAGTTCCCTCAGTGGTGACATTTTGCAGTGATGTGAAGGGTATGGAACTTTTATAAAGTGTATGTCTGTGGAGGTGCCCGTGTGCAAATGCACTTGGAAGCTAGAGTATTTATTTATTTTTGAAACCCTTACTAGTTGACCAGGAAGCCCCTGGCCCTGCTTCTCTGGCATTGGGATTACAAGCCTGTACACAAAACCTGGCGTTTGTTTGATGTGGATTCTGGGGTGGGGGTGGGTCAAAGTGAGATCCTTGTGTTTTCAAGGCAGGCTTCACCAACTGCTCTTTGCCTTTCCCAGTCTATTTTATTAGCTTTTTAAAGTGGATATTACAAACAATCACCTTCCCACACTGTCGCTGATTTACCGCCATGGTAAGAGCACCAGTCTTGTACCTTTAAGGACATCTGGTTCTGGTCAGTGTTGTGGTTCATGGGTGTCACAGCTGGGTAGGAACACTGACTGTTTGCCTCCCTTGGCAGTTTAAAACCCTAGTGCTGGGTCAGGGTAGCCAGAGGGATGACCCAGAACAATACAGGCTGTTGCTTTTGGCTGCCTCACAGAGCTTAAGGACAAATCCCTGCTCCTGAAGATACCACATACTCTGAATACAGGACTTGGAAGATTTGAGTTAGAGCTAATCTGAAGTCGTAGATTTTTTTTTTTTTAACCACAAAAGTCCTTTAAACCAAACAACACAGGGATAGTTAATGCTTGTAGCTTCAGTAAGTATATTTCTATACTATATAGTTAATGCATTATTATAAATGTTATATCTTTTTATATTTAATATATTGTTTTCCATATTAGTGTATTTTTAAATTTTTACCTTTGTACAATTCTTATTTATTTCATTTAACATGTGTCCTGTTGGTGGACATTTAGATTGTTTCCATTTTTACCATTATAAAAGCATCAAGACTAGTGTTTTCAGCTTTTTATTATTTATTTTGCTGTTCAGGGGATGAAACTCAGGCCCTTATTCATTCTAGGCAAGCATCTGACTACTTAGCATCCTCAGCCCTGTGATTAATAATTTTGTGCCTACATCTTAATGTGCTTGTGAATTTGTTTCTTTATTTTGTGAATTTGTTTCTTTCGGAGCCACTGTAGTCATAGATCTAAGGAGTCCATTAGTGGGACAGCCTTAGGTACTCATCCTATATGCATAAATTTCAACAATATGTGTTTGATTGAGGAATTTGCTGAGAGTTCAGGCATAATAATTATGGAATATTAAAAAATATGTACATCTTAGTAGTGGTGTCTCAGTCAGGAGGTAGTGGCACAACCCTTAATCCCAGCACTCAGGAAGCAGAGGCAGGCAGATTTCTGAGTTCTAGGCTAGCCTGGTCTACAAAGTGAGTTACAGGATAGCAAAGACTACACAGAGAAACCCTGTGTCAAAGAAAAAACAAATGTATGTACTTTGTACATTACTTTCTCACTGCTTAATTAGAAGGAGAAATTGGAAATGAGGATGTTGAGAAAGTCATCGCCAGGCTTTAAGAAGTTGTACCAGCTTCCATTTTACCTGTGTGAGAATGTTACGGTTTGTTTCTGCTCTAGAACAGCTTCCCTTGTGTCTCTCCATCTGAAAGGTCTGCAAGGACTAATTAACATTGCTCAGTGTTTCCCCAGTGCCTGGCACACAGGGACTGCTTGGTGGCAGTGGTTCCAAAGTGTAACAACTCTGCGGGACACCCTGGCTGTTTCAGGTGGAGCGCTTTCATCAGTCAGAAATTCGTGTTTAGTTCAACCAGACAAGAAAACAGACACCAATGCTTGGGTCTCCAGTCCCTCCAGAAGTCCCTCTAGAAATCCACTGTCTACGGTAGCAGTTAAGAAGACTACATGGGATTGCCCTTTGAAGAACCACAAGGAACCAGAACAGAAAATTTACAAGAAGCCTAATCTTGTGGTAAAGCCTTTGCAGCTGGTGAGTGAGGTTCAAGGACTTTACAGGAGGCAAAATAATTGAATGGATGTCTCTTTAGACCAAAGTGCTCTTTAGGGCAAGATCTTCGGTCCAGCACCATTTTATGAAGCATTTCTTCTAGTTTCCATTTCCCACATGCCTGAATTTAAAGTTTTTCAGATGGCTGACATTTAAGTTCTATCCTGATGGCACTGTTGATTTCTCTATGCCTGAGTCTCAGGGTGCAGGCTTGAAATCCTCAGGGCTTTAGAGAGTGCAGGAGCCCTACGCTGTCCCTGCCTCAGCAGAGGTCACCACACCTTTGTATCAGTTCTCACTTACTTGCTTCATTAGATTTTTCTCCTCCTCTACATCCTCACCGACTTCTGTTTGTATTTTTTTTTATCTCCTATTTCTAACTTTGTTGTTATGAAGGAATTTTTTGTTCTTCACTGGAGCTGGCTCTTCAGTGGAATGAGTAGTTCTAGAGGCTGCTGTGCTTTCTTCCAGACAATAAGAAGGCCTAGAGGAAATAGCATATTTTAGAGTGAAAGTGCTTGAAAAAGCTTTTGATAGGAGAACTAGTCTAAATTTGTTCCATTCCTTAAAGATACCTTTGGCTCCTGGCAGGTTCGGTAGGATGAGAACTCACCTTACTCCAGCCTGAATACGTGAAAAATGTCATGTTGCCTATTTTGTGGAAGACATTTGCTTAACACTCTTTTCACCCAATATCTTCATAATGTAGTATTTGAAGAATGTTGTAAAATGTGTGGCTGGGAGCAACATTCTAAACCATTCTGAATCATAATCCTGGCTGGAGTCCAAGAATCTGGATTTTTATAATTTCCCAGATGATTGTGATAGAAATGATTGATGAAATAGGGTTTGAGAGCTACTGTCGTTAAGAGTTGAAGTGAGCCTACAGGCTCTTTGTGACTTCTTTCTCTCCCTGCCTCCCCTGTAGCAAGTGGAAGCAAACAAGTCCCAGCTCAGCTTATCAGTGGCAAACCATGATATCCCCCCGGATGCTGTATGTGCAAAGAAATTATGCCGACTTCCACCATTAGACACCAGTACCCTGGTAGGGGTCTTTGTGGAATACATAATCTCTCCCAGTCAGTTCTACATTCGCATCTACAGCAGAGATTCGTCAGAATTACTTGAAGACATGATGATTGAAATGCGGTAGGAGCCTCATGCTTACTCTCTGTGTTCCCTTTTATCTTTAAGAGTAATTGTCAGACATTTTGGTCCCAGGACTCCTAAAGTAGCCAAAGCTTTTGCTGACTGATGCTTTTTATCATATAGACACTTAAACTGAGAAGATTAAAACAATAGTTAAAAAAAAATCCATGTGTGATACTATAAGTATCATTTATGAAAAAAATAACCATTTTTTTTCTGACTTGTTGACTTGTAATCCTAGCATAGAGGAAGCAGGGACAGAAGGTGTCCTGGGGCTCACTGTCCAGCTAGTTTAGTTTAGTTGGTGAGCTCTAGGCCAGTCAAAGACCTTGTCTCAAAGGAGGCAGACAACATTCCTGACAATGATACCTGAGGTTGTCTCTCTAGCCTCCACATTGCATCTGTCCTGGAATTTTCTCTGTAGACCAGGCTGGCCTCCAACTCAGAGATCTGCCTGCCTCTCAAGTGCTGGGATTAAAGGCGTGCACCACCACTACCTGGCTAGCATTTGTTTTTTAATGTGATTTCTGGAGATAAAACCCAGGCCTTCATGCTTGTACAAGCAAGCAGTTTACCAACCTAGCTATCTCCCGAGCATGGCTGTTGCTGTTAACACTGGTTACTGAGACCCTGGGACTACAAGGATACATATGTAAGACATGGGCTTTGCCTGTATGAGCATACTGAAGCTGGGGAGACAGTCAGGGAGATTAGTGGGACAGAATGGGAAGCAGCAGTGCTGTCTGGGAAAGCTTCATAGTTAATACTTGAGCAAGGCCTCAAAAGCAAGGTTTTGCCAGTTGAAATCGTCAACTTTCATCAACCTAAGCAGATATGTCTGTGAGAGCTGGGATTTGAGGACATCAAAGAATGGAGTAAACAACAATCTAATGCTGTAAACAACTTTTCAATGCACTTTTATACATGAATGTTACAAAGAAAGCAACAATTCAAGGGAGGTTTGAGTTCAGGATAACATGTAAGTAATGTCAGTGAGCACATACTAAATATTAACAGAGCAGCCCTTTCCCAGAACCAGGACAGACCAAGTTAAACACAATTGCCTGGCGTGTACCATAGATAGTATCTGGGAAAGCACGGAAGCAAGGCAGAAGCCATATCCAGATTCAGGGTACACAGAGGACAGCACTCAGAACATCCTTTCACCAGATTGGGTTCCATACCTATGATCTGACATCCAACAAGAATAAACATGTCTGATAAATTAAATATAAACGTTTAGTACAGGAGACACGAAATCACATCTAAGAACAATTCAGGGAATGAAATGTGCCTCTGCCTTTTTTCCTGGAGCCTCTCTGACAGTACCCCAAGGCATTGTTCACCATGTGTCATTCTTTTGACCTTGTTTGGACAGAGATAGGAATTGGTATATTCCGGCACTAAGGTCAACATTAACAAAGGATTAAATGGTGTATTTAGGGAACAAATAAGGAAGTAGAGTTCCAACTAGTGATGTTGGGAGGGCATGGCTGGATATGACATTGGGAGATGTAAGAGCTGAATTGGGAGCCCCGTGGGAGGACGATCTTTAGACAGAAGCCACTGAAACCTGTTTTCTTAAAGGTTGAGAAGGATCTTCTTATAGTTGGACAAGAAGTGTCCCAAAGGTCATGTGTCAAAGGCTTGGTTCTCAATGCAGTGTTCATTGTTTAGCCAAGTGACTGGATCATGAGGGATCTGACCTGATCAATGGATCAACCTATTGGTGGCTCTATAATTTAGAGATGTTACTGGCAAGTGGTTCAGAGTAGAAGGTGAGATTTAGCTAGAGTAAGTAGGTCACTGGGGACGTGTCCTTAGAGGATATAGCTTGTTCCTGGTCCCTTCCTCTCGGCTCTTTGCCTACTGGCTGCCATGAGGTAAAAAGCTCTGCTTCTTCACCCATGCTCCCTCCCTCTCTCCTTCCTGTGTTCTGCCTCACCATAGAAACAACATAACCATGCAACCATGAACCAAAGTCCCTGAAACTGTCCTCAGTTGTTTGTTCTGGGTATCTTGTCACAGTGGTGACAAACTGATAGAGACAACATTGTTTTAGAAGGATCACTTCAGCTGTAGTAGAGAAAATGAATGAGATGAAGAAAAGGTCAATAAATGGGTAAGCCCTTAGGAGAGAGTGAGTGCAGAAAGGGACAAACTAGAGAAGTGAAGAAAGTCACCCCTTCAGTGAATAGTGGAAAGGGTATGAGGTATTCTCAGTATGAAGACTGTTGGCGTAGAGATGAGGAAGCTGGGTGAGAGAAACTAGACACTGGCACTCACTGCCTGTAGTTGGTGCAGAACACTTGGAAGTCTTAGGATATGTTTGCCATGGCCATGCTCACCTAAGGACATAACAGCCTGTCTTTTCTGAAGTAGCCCCAGCACAAGATGCATGGGAATGTGGATACCCCATGGAGTTGAGGACTTGGATATTTTTCTCTTTTGTTTCAGATAGTGTGTTGCCCCCTTTGGATGTAGCTTGGCACACATCTATGAGGTTCCACATGGTGATATATTGTTTATGATCTAGTTAACCATAGAAGCCAGGCAGTGGTGGTCCACACTTTTAATCCCAGCACTTGGGAGACAGATCTCTGTTAGTTCAAGGCCATCCTGAGCTATGCAAAATTGATCACACAAAGGTGATCTCAGTACTTGGGATCCCAGGCCTTTAACTGTAGTCTGAGGTTTGGTGGAGACAGATGCAGTCTGAGAACAGGATCGCCCTTTTGGTCTGAGCACTGGTAGAAGTAAGAATTCTCTAGTGGTTGGCCTCTTTGCTTCTCTGATCTTGAGCTTTAACCCCAATATCTGTCTCTTTGTTTTTATTATTAAGACCAGCTAGAATTCCTGCTACAGCTCCCCTTCTTAGCTAATGGGAAGGAGAAAAATAACATTGCTTTGAAAGACATGATGAAGTGTTCACATTTTAATTTTTTAAAAATTGTGATAAACTATGCATTAATTTTTCCTCTTTGTGTACTTTTTCTTATATATCCTGTTAGCTCAAATATTTAATTCTTATAACCACACCTAGGTCCTGGGACGCCTATATGGCTAGTTAAAATATGGGCATCTTATTACTAAGGGAAGAAGGGAAGAGAATGGCTATGGAGAGAGGATGTCTAGCATGGCTTCCAGATAGTTGAAATTGAAGCTTTGAGGTTTGGGAATCAGAGTCTTCTGGGGAGAGTTTATCCATAGTGATGCCAGATGTGAAAAAGGACAAGCGGTCATCCAGAAGGAAGCACAGTGTGTGAGTGCATCTGAAGTCACTGCCCTAAAATCCTCCACATATTTTAGCTAAGATTTTACTATTGGCTCCATCTTTGACGAGGAAACAGAAACAGAAAGGTACAGCCACTGATCTTGTAAATGGGGAGTCAGGATTTAAACCTAGGTTTCTGCTTTAAACATTCCAAAGAAGCCAAAATGTTATGGTAATGCAGAGCCTATTAAGGATGTTGACAAGGAAGGAATAGGAGAGAATTGTGGAGATGAGCATGAAGCATGAAAGAAGATAAGCTGGAGAGAATCTCTTAAATGTGGGAATTAACACGCCATTGAGGTGGTGGGGGTGGGGGAGGGCATTCCAGACAGGGTTTCTCCATGGACAGGGTTCTCTAGGACAGCTCTGGCTGACCCAGAACTTGTTCTTTAGACCAGGCTGGCCTTGAACTCAAGAGATCCTCCTGTCTGTACCTCTCAAGTGTTGGGATTAAAGGTGTGTACCACCACCACCTGGCCCATCAATGCTTTTCTTATTTGAAGGAACAGTTTTAATTGAATTAGAATTACATTACTTTCCCTCCCTTTCCTCTTTCTAGGCCCTCCCTAGAATCCCTCCCACCCCCCTAGTCCTCATTTTCAAATTGACAGCCTCTTTTTCTTTGATTATTGTTGTTACATGCATATGTATGTATGTATGTATGTATGCATGAGTAGCACAAATATGTATGAATATAACTTGTTCATATTGTTTTAGGACTGACCATTCTATATTGGATAACCAATACTGGGGCTCATTTCATAGGAGAGACCAATTCTTCTCCCAGCAGTCATTGGCTGTCTGTAGTTCTTTACGGATGAGACCCCATGGAATTTTCCCCATTCCACAGTAATATGTCTACTGATATGCCATTGTTCTGGCCTTGTTTGTGCAGCCATTTCTAGTTGAAACTGTTTCACAGCACAGTTTTGGTATTCTGACTCTTAAAGTCTTTCTCTCCTCTTTTCCAAGATCTTCCCTGAGCCATAAATGCAGGAAAGTATACATTTTAGGAATTCTCTGGAATGAAGTTGGATTAGATTCTATTAAGAGAATATAAGTATGTAATTTACATACTTGGAAGGAGTTTGTTGATGAAAGGGTCTTCATAAAGGAATTGGCATTAATAGGCATTAAGAAATCAGAGAAAAATTTTTTCTTTGCTTTTTTGCTGAGATTTGCTTATCCTTGATACATCAGTAAAATTATCTTTTCTCTCTTTCTTTATGGGTTTTTCTGTATTATGGAATTCTACAGGCGCTGTTATTCTAACCAGCTGGTTTCTGATCGGTACATCATGCCAGAATATTTTATCCAACCAGGACATCTCTGTTGTGTAAGGATTTCTGAGGACAAGTGGTGGTACCGGGTTATTATCCACCGAATCATTGGGAAAAAGGAAGTTGAAGTGTTCTACCCAGACTTTGGAAATATTGGAACTGTTCAGAAGTCCTCACTAAGGTTCCTCAAGTAAGTTGAATTCAGCAAGAAGGCTGGAAAAATGAAATTTTGAATCCTGTAACTTTGGGGCTGGGATCTTTTCTTTCTCTTGCTGTTTTCCATCAATCCTTTACATCTTGTCGTAGGATGTATATTTGGCAGATGATCATTTAATATATTTTTAAAAGACTAATTTTTCTTATTTTTTAACTGTGTGGGAACATGTATGATCAGGTGCCCATAGGGGTCAAAGCCATAGGATGCCCTGGTGCTGGAGTTCCAGGTAGTTGTGAGCAGCCCGATGCGGGAGCTGGGGACCTCCACAGAGTTGTCTCTCCAGCCCTGATGGCTTATTTTATGGATACTCTGTAGCCTCTCATCTTTCACTTGATTAGGAATTTGAATGGACCCTGAGAATAAAGTTTGGTCTTTTATTAAGAAAGTATCTCAGGGTTATGCTAAGAGGCATACTTACATGTCAAGGGGTTAAACAGTTCTTACTGGTGCTTTTACTTACAATGTTCTTAAAAAAATGTACTGTTTTGTAATTTTTTTTTCTTGAATTACTTTCAAAGTACAAGGCATTAATTTAAAGTGTCGTGAATTAATTGAAATGGTATCACAAGACAAGAAGTGGACCAGAGACTCAATAAAAGCAGTGTACAAATAATGGCTAAATAGTCACACATTTGACTTTCTGCAGATGCTGCTACACAAAGCTTCCCGCTCAGGCTATACCTTGCTCTTTGGCTTGGGTGAGACCAGCAGAGGTAAGTGTCCTTGTTTCTTATTGGTCAGCAAAGATGTAGGTTCTTCCTTTGTGCCAGTAACAATTCTGAGTTCTCAGGACACAGAAACAACATTGAAATGATTGTGTGTGCCAGGCAGGTGAGTGGGCAGCAAGGGCATCACGTCACATTTGCTGTCATTTGCTGTGGTGTGAGAGCAGCAAAAGGAAGTGAGCCTATTTTTGTTCCAACTCATCAAAGGGTAAAAGAGGAGACATTGCCGGCAGAGGGAGAGGAGCACAAACATTGAACACAATATTCTGTGCCCAGAATGTCGGGTAAGCTGGGATGACTAAATTAATCTATGAACAAGTAGCAGTCATTTATTATCAAATACTGTGCACTGTGTGTAATTGCACTTGGTGTACTTTAACTTGACTCATGGCATAGGTTTATACCAGTGTCACCACAAACGAGTACGGTGTTGTGCTCTGGTGTCATCGCACAGCAGTGTTACTAAGCAGTAGGAAATTTGGATCTGTCTTGTTAAGGGGTGAGAGCTGCACTCATCTGTGGGTGATTGTGTTTTGGGTGTCTTCCTGTGCTGGTGGTTGTGGTTCGGAGGCATCACTGGGTAGGGCTATTGGTTCCCTTCCTCCTCTAGCAGCTTGCACAGCACCTTTTGGTGTATGTGAAGGCTAGTCCTCAGGGACGAGACTTTGGAGTCAGATCCAGCTGTGACCCTCTGGGTCCTATCCAAAGTGTTGTGTCTTCAGCTTCAGAAGCAATCAGAGACAACAGCAAAAGCCTGTAGTTTTTGGAATCTCTTGGACTCACTGACCAAAACTCAAAAAAGGTTTCTCATGCCTCATTCTGGGGTTTTAATTAGGTGGTCTATGGCTCTTTGGAGAAGGTGTTATCATCCCAAGTGACATAAGTTCATTTAAACTATCTATCTATCTATCTATCTATCTATCTATCTATCTATGTATCTATCTATCTATCTATCTATCTAGTTTCAGGTAAGTATAAAATAATGATTCTCTGTCATTATTTCAAACATCTTAGTGTTACTTTTGTATTGTTCCCTCTCCCCAATTTGGAATGTGTTTGTTTTAAAGTTTTGAATTTTTTTTTTATTTGTTTTGAGACAGGGTTTCTCTGTGTAGCTTTGGAGCCTATCCTGGCACTCCATTCAGAGACCAGGCTGGCCTCTAACTCACAGAGATCCGCCTACCTCTGCCTCCCCAGTGCTGGGATTAAAGGCGTGCGCCACCAACACCCGGCTTAAAGTTTTGATTTTATTGGTGTGAATAGTTCGTAATAGTGTCTTGGTTGTTTTTATCTTTTTTTTTTTTAATGAGTCACCATCTCATGAAACCCAGGTTGTCTGCTGAGGGCAGGGATGACATGTGTACAGCACCATTCTCAGATCCCTCTTGTCTTTTTTGTGTCAACATTTGTAGTGGTGTAAATGTTTATATTCTGAATGTTATTTGTGTATTTTTTCATTCTGTCATTATCTAAATGATAAAGGTAGTTTCCATTGTAGTTAGTTTCAAAGAACCAATTTTTGTCCTATTTTCATTATTTTCTCAACCCCACTTTGAGTTACTCTTTTGGTATGGAATTTTTAGGTGAATTTGTAAGTTTTGGGGGGTATTGGTTTTATTGCTCACTTAAAGTATTTTGTAGTAATTTATATTTTGTGTTTATGTTTGAGTCATGGATTATTTAGAAATTTGCTTATAAATAAATACTGTTTTGTAAACTGATTTCCAAGCTAAACAACTGATCAGAGATAATCCTGTGGGTAATGTCAGAATAGGTTTCATTATGAGCTAGTATGGGATTGCTTTTTATAGTACATAATATGTCCCTGAAAATATAGTGTAGTTATATATAATGTTCAGTAGTTGTCCTTAAAGTCACCTTAATTGTATGATGCTTTCATTCATTTTGTGTTTCTTTGTGTTTTTGAAAAATAATCATTGAAAGGAAGCGTGGCTTTAGCTATGATTGTTGTTCTGTCTGTCTGTTCCTATCATTTAGTTGCTTTTTGTCTATCCATTGAAGCTACATCATTAGGTCCATATACAATATCAGATTTGCTATATGCCTGGAAAGTGAATATCATTGTGAAATTAACCTCTTCCATGAATGCACTTTCACTTATACAGAAGTTCTTTTTGTTTGATATTCTTAAAGATCTGACTCTCATTTACATGGTATTTTTTCTGGTGTAGACCATGTTACATATAGTTGTGTTTTTTTGTTTTTTGTTTTTTTAAATCCAGAGCAATATGTTCACCTTTTTTAGCTGGGGCATTTGTATTTAATTACATTTATTTGACAGTATATAACTTTAAATTCCATTATTGTGTATACTTTATTGCCTGCCTGTTCTTTTTAACTTAGCATTCCTGATTTTGAAGATTAAAAAATTCAGCAAGTTTTACTTTGTATTATTTAAAAAAACACAAGAAATATAACATTTATGTGTATATCAATGTAAAGACATTGGAGCAACCAACTTCACTGACCTCTGCTGCCTTGTTTTTATTATATCATGTAATCACATAAAGAAATTGGTACAGCATCATTTGTTAAAGATGAGGGATTTTCTCTGGTGTATATGTCTGGCATCTTTGGGCCAGTATCGATGGCTGTAGTTACATCCAGTTGTGTTTGGGTTGTCTGCTGTCACGGATGGGTTCACGTCTGCTTTTGTGCCCACATTCCGATGATTATGGTACCACAGCTCTGTGATGTAGCTTGACGTTTGCCTTGTGATCCTTTCAGGGTTGCTGTTTGTACTCAGGATTGCTTATTTCCATATGAATTTAGCATTTTTCCTGTTTCTGTGAAGAATATTATGGAGATTTTTATAGGTATTGAATTGAATCTGCACATTGCTTTTGGCAGGATGGCCATATTCACAATATTAATTCTACCATCCAAGGAGAGTTCAGATCTCTCTCTCTATTCTAGTGTCTTTAGTCTCATTCTTTGGAGGTTTAAATTCTTCATTACAGAGGCTTTTCACATTCCTGGTTCTGTGTTCTCCTAGACATATTATTTCTTGATACTATACTGAATGGAAGTGTTTAGAATGTTTGTTATGATTATAAAGAATAGTTGCTGAATTTTCTGAGTTGATTTTTATCATTCCACTTAGTTAATGGTGATCAGTTCTAGGAGTTTTCTAATGGAATTTTTGGGACCTTTCAAGTATAATGTTATATAATCTTCAAATTTGACTTCTTTGACTATTTGTGTCCCTTTAGTTTTCTTCCTTTGTTTTATTTCTCTAGCTAGGACATTAGCCACTATGTTGAAAAGGAGTGGAGGTGGTGGACATTAATAGTATTGCTTTGAGTTTTTCTCCATTTAGGATGACGTTGGCTGTAGTCAGCTTTATCCTGGAGATGAAGGGATGGCTTGGCATAAATATAATCAATCCTGTAAGTGAATTTAAAGACAAAAATCGTATCTCAGTAGATATAGACAAGGCCTTTGACAAAACATGACTTCATAAAAAAGTCCTGGATTAGGAGTAGAGGGAACATGTCTCAACGTAAGAAAGGCTATATATGACAAACATTCAGATTCACAATATGAATACCTTCATTGTGGTAGAACTGACACTGTGGAAATGAGTGATAAAACAAGTTACTTTCTTTTTTCTTGTTTAGTTACTAGTCATGTGTTGGCATGTAGTTAGTGATACTGACATTATATATTAGACATGATAGTTTTACTTCTCATGTTGAATAGATGTCATAAGTAAGAAAAATGAAGATAATAATGACTCTAAAGGGTGTTATTAGAAGAAATTCAAAGTAGGAATAAATTAACACAAGAATTAAATTTAATTTTCTAATGTAATATACATTAATTAGAATAAACTTTTAAAACATAATCCTAAGGTGTGCTTCCTCTTGGAATTCTCCTTCCTGACTGGTGGAACAAGCTTAGTGGTCTGTTACCATTGATAATGTTAACGTTATCATAGATGGTAGGAATTACAATCTTTCCTTTTCAATTTTATGTTTATGGATGTTTTGCCTGAATGTATGTATGCATAACAACTACATACAGTTAATGCAGAGACCAGACGAAGGCATCAGAACCTAAGAACTGGAGTTGCAGATGGTTTTAACTTCCTTGTGGGTGCTGGGAAGTGAGCCAGGTAGGTCCCTGCAGGAGGAGCAAGTGCTATTAATCACTGAGCTATCTCTCCAGCCCCTGGGTTTGTATCATAGTACAGATGAATAATTTTTGTGATTGTTTTGGTAATAGTTGTGAGCCTGTATTACTGTGCTAAAGCTGTTACTTAGAAAATTAATATTCACTGAGATAAACTATTACAACTTTTTTAGACAAAGCCAAAAATCAATTCATCTTTTTCCTCATTGAGCTAGCTTAGGTTACCTCATAGTTCATGACTGAGAGGTTGGTTTGTGTGTGTGTGGGTATCCTAGCAAGGAATTGAGCATTAATGTGTTTATTGTGTTAAGCAAAATATATACAAACTCTTCAGTTATTATATTCTTGAAATAAAAATTAAGTAGTAAATTGTCCCAACCTGCAGGACATCAACTTGGGGCAAGAGAGTCAGGGATAGGGAATGGGAACAAGAGATGCAGAAAGAACTACCACAAGACAGGATTCTGATTAAGTGGCTAACTTTATTTTTCTCAGGCTAGCTTATATAGTCAGTAGAGCAGGATATGGGGAGGGGTAGAATGGGTTGTTTGTGTACCAGGTGTTAGTGTAGGCAGGATATTAGGAAGCCACAAAGAGGATGTTTGACAGGGTAAAGAGTTCAAAGAGTTCAAGAGGTCCAGGAAGGGTTGCCTAGGTGACTGAGCCTGTGGGTGGAGGACTGGGTTAAGTTGTTTCTTTTCTTGAGCTGAGGTTCTAAGGAGCTACTATGTAAAGGTTAACATACAACTATGTGGCCAGCCAAGCATGGCCTAGGATCTCATGCCAAGCCCTGAGATCTTTGGCTCCCAACAGTAAATTAGTAAATAAAAATGAGCATCATGGTATGGGGCCTCAGTTCTGTGCCTTGTGCCTCTTATCTACAAGATCCCTGCTTACTTGGTTTGATACAGAGCTCACACCATTTGCATGCCCTTTTCTCCTCTCCCCCACTTCTCCCTCCCCCCTCTCTCATTCCCCTCCCTCTCCTACCTCCCCTACCTCTCCTCACCCACTCACCTTCTCTCTCCTTTCTTTCACCCCATATGTGAGCTCATGGCAAGAAGGAAGCTGACTGCTAGCTAGGAAATACGATCTCATTAGGATATGAATCTTTTCAAACCTTGAGTTTAGAATTTTAAGGTAATGAAAAACTAATGTTCATATGCTTTTTTCTGGCATTTTGTTAGATCTATCCAAATTGCTTAATATGTACATATTGAAGTATTATATTTGAAAGCCAGTAAGCTATTCATTTCTCTGTTACTTAAATGACCTTTATTTAATGGAATGTAGCATAAATGAATGTGACACTTCACCATTGTAGTATCTGTGAATCTTCTATTTTTATATATTGTGTTATATATCAAGATTTTATTAACAACTATATAATTATTTTACAATGTCTAACATTTAATAATATGCTATATCTTGTCAAAGTATTTTGTATAAATGCCTTACATAGTACTTTAAAAATACAAAACTGTAATTTTCAAGTAATGTGTGTAACATAATAAATCATGTGTTGTTCCAACCTGATCTTTTACACAAAAATGCATTATTATGCTATATCATTTAATGAAAATTAATGGGGGTGGCATGGGTGATCGATGGGGGACATGGGATGATGGGGAGGAGGGGGAACTGGGATTGATATGTAAAATAAGATTGTTTGTAATTTAAATTGAAAACTTATTTTTAAAAAAACACAAAGTACTCAAACAGTTGGACTAAACAATCAAAAAAATTAACACAATGGTAAAAGGGAGTATTAAAAGAATCTAGCCTGGGGCTGGAGAGATGGCTCAGCGGTTAAGAGCACTGACTGTTCTTCCAGGGGTCCTGAGTTCAATTCCCAGCAACCACATGGTGGCTCAGAACCACCTCGAATGAGATCTGGTCATGCAGGCAGAAAGCTATATACATAATAAATAAAATCTTAAAAAAGAATCTAGTCTATATACATGATCTAATATATATTATGCAATTATAATAATTAGTTTTCTTGAATTCAAGAAAAGAAAAATACTGAAATTAATTTGGAGATGTTTGTTTTGTTAGAATTTTTGTTTTCAGAAAATTGTTTTTTATTTAAAAAATAAGAAATTGGTTACAAAAATTGTAATAGTATCTTTTTGGTTCCGATTACATATTTTTTAACTCATCATCTATTCCCACTCTTTGCCTAGGAGTAATTTTCTTCTACTTGAGCTGCACTATTTAGGATTTTATCTCATTAGGGTCATGGAGTGGCAAATTTAGTAATGTTTACCACATTTCATCATTGTTTTGTACTATTTTTGGTGCATGTGCTAAAGTTTGAATGCAGGGCCTCATGCTTGCTAGGCACAGGCCGTACCACCTGTTACACCCCTGCTTATTACACATTTGCCAGGTGTAGGGCTCCAGGCTGGCGTCAGCCTCTGTAGCACACTGAAGAGGCTGTTGCTAGCTTCCCGTCTTCTTAACTTCAGACAAGTCACTTGTCAGTCTGGTGGCTTTTCCTGTGGAAATCCTTAACCATTGTTTTGTCCTCTTTGTCTTTAGCTATTTTAAAGATTTTCCATTGGTCCCTTACATTCAGTTTCAGAGTGTGTTTATATATAATGTGATAAGTTTATTTGTGTGTGAATTTATTATTTATCCTACTTTGCTCTCTGGACACTTAAAAATAAGGGTTATTAGTTTTCACTAACCTTTGTGAATTTGAAGTTGTTATTTGATTATTGGGTATCCCGATATTTATATTCATAATCTCTCTGTTTGTGTCTCTCTTTCTGGAACAAAAATTAAAAGTGTTAAAGGTAAGCTTTTCTTCCAAATCTTTTATCTGTTTTCTGTATTTTTATGTCCATGTCTTTACATAGTAGGCATTTTTTTCCTCAGTTATCTTTAATCTTGTCTAATCTGGTACTGAATTAACACATGAAGTTTTTGTTAATTGTATTTTTACTTTCTGAAATTTAGTTCAATTATATCACTTTTAAAGAGTGTGTGTGTGTGTGTGTGTGTGTGTGTGTGTGTGTGTGTGTGTGTGTAGGAGGGGTGAAAGCAAGACAGTTCTCAGCCACCTTGTGAGACCCATGGGTTGGGCTGGGGTGGCCACACCCGTGCACGGTGCCTTTAACCACTGAGATGCTTGCTGGCTAGCCTGTACCATTCCTTATAGATTGTATAGATTGCTGACCTCTACAAAAGTCTCACATTAAGTTGGGTAATTTTTTTATTTGTATTGCTTTAAGCATAATGTTAGTTTCATACTTAGAAATAAAAATGTTTTCAGGATTTGGGGGTTACTTTTATGTAGTTTCTGCTTGTTCTCATATATAGTTCACTGTTTCTTTAGGCTTTATTTTAGATAAAATTTTTACATTTTCATTTAATTGTGTGTGTGAGCTCGTGTGTGCACGAGAGTGCGTAAGTGCCATACTTTGACATTAGAGGACAACTTGTGGGAGTTGGGTCTCTCCTTCTATCATGTGGATTCTGGTTGGTGATCAAGCTCAGGTTCATCAGGCTTGTGGGCAGTGTTTTCACCTGTGAAGCAATCCTTTATCTTTGCCTTTGTCCAGTGTGTGTGTCAGGATGGTTGGATGGTGCCTGTCTCCAGAGAGGCTTTGTTTGCTTCTGCCAAGTGCCCAGCCTGTACTATGCTTATGTAAATGGGCAGCTTGAAGATTGCTAGACCATGCTGGTGGTTTGGAGACAGAGTCACAAATTCATGTGAGCCTTAGTGTATGTTTTGTATCCCTTTTTCCTGGTTGTGTATCCCACAGAAGTTAGTTTAATAAAGGAAAATTTTCTAGACTCCCAACCATTGTAGACCCTGGCTTTGATATCTTTCCCCTTTGACCCATTAGGACCATCAAAACTGTAGTTCAGGTTTGCCCAGATCAGCAGGGACTCTGAAGGCAGAAGTAGATCTCACTTTCCCTTCCATTTTGGCATGATAATTTTACCATCTTTGGTTCTTTTGTCTTTGTGATATATTAAAATAATATTCTACCCAGAATTTTAATTTTTTTCCCTCTGGGTGGGTTAGCCTAATAATCTTCAACTGACTTTTTTTTTTTTTGACAGTTGCTCAGTGGATAATTATTTAAAATTTTCCAAACCTTTTCTTCTTTTTAAATTAGCATATAGTATATAAAATAAGGAGTTTTAATATGACGTTCTCATGCATACATTTATTTTGATCATGTTTGCTCCATTACTTTGTTTTTATGAGATTTTCTTGTATTTATATAATGTGCTTATCCCCCCTTCCCCTTTATACCTTCTGTAGCTCTAATACTACCCTTTACTCTTATGTCCACCCCTGGATTCTACACTTTGTGAGATTGTCCTAACTCACTTAATGTGATGATTTCCACCCATTTCCCTGCAAACCACATAATTTAATTCTTCTTGATGCTGAATGAAACTCTGTTGTGCATGTACAACACATTTCCTTTATCCCTTCGTCTTTTGCCCACCATTAGGCACTGCCTGACTTCAGAACCTTGCTGCTATAACAGTGCTGTGGTGCACGTAAGTGTACAGCTGTCCCTGCAGGAAACAGACACGGATTCTGAACATAAACCTAGGAGCAGTGTAGTTGGGTCGTGTGGGATCATTTTTACCTTTTGAGGACTCTCATGCTGGTTTCCATGGTGACTGGACTAGCATACACGCCCAGCAGCAGTTACAAGGGTCCCTTTTTTTCTGTGCCTTCTCCAGCATTTGTTGTGGTTTTCTGGTGATAGCCATGTTGACTAAGGTGAGGTGGAATCTTCGTGTGGTTTTGATTTGCATTTCCTTGATGGTTGGTCTTTTTACTCATTATAAATGAATAATATTTCTGAAAATGAGAGTTCTTTGCCAGATGATTTTTGTAGTCATGTTTATTTTAACCATTTTTTTAACTTCTCTCACCCTAAAATTAAACATATTTTATGCGTTTTTAGTTTTTTAGGATTTCAGGGTTTTTTTTCACTTAAAACTATAGTTCATTAGCAATTCATTTTTATATACAATTTGTGTAACTCACATGTAACTCTGTCACATAAATATATCTCTATTGTATTTTAGGAACACTGGACATCCAGAGCTATTTTACACTTCCAGAAGCTGTGTGGTTTGAAGCCATTAGTAGGGGTGGTGGATGAATATATAGATGGAATCCTTAATATTTTTCTTTGTGATACATCCTCTAATGAAGATGTCTACTTTCATCATGTCTTGAGGACAGAGGGCCATGCTATTGTGTGCCGAGAAAATGCCCCATCCAAGGTAGGGTACATATTTTTTAAATGCCACACTTTAGGGTATAAAAGTTTAGTGTGGGCAGTTACTGATTTGCTCTTCAATCTTAGAGATGTCCTTAGCTTCCCGACTTAATGCAGAGCGCCCTCCTCATTTTCAGGTGACTGTTGAAACCAGGCCCCACCACCACCAACACCACCACGACACAGATCCACATTTTGCTAATTGTTCTTTAATCCTCCAGTGAAAACTACTTTTATTTAAAACAAACGATTTAATCGCTCTAACCCTGAAGTATTTAATCTGCTTTCCCAGAGAAGAAAAAACATTCTCTAGTTTTGAAATGAGTGACAGTGCTATCTACATAATTTCTCATCTTGATGCTGTTTTTTTGTAAAGTATCAGTGTGGAAATTGTCACCTTATGTTAGAAAATGTTTCAGTGCCATGTGAAGCACTAGCTTGTTCGCCCTTTCTAGCTTATTATGTAATGAAATGCTTCATCCTAGGGCTTCAGAGATCTAAACCCATTAGCGCTCTACACTAGCTCCAGTGGCATGGCAGGTGACACAGTCCTAACAGAGCTGGGGCCTTCTCAGCAGCAATGTTTTGATGAAGACAGGGAGCCACGGCAACAGTCCAAGGTGAGTGGCCGGCATAGCCAAGTAAAAAGATTTTGCAAATATAATTACTCCCATCAACTATAGTTATGTCCTCACTTTGTAGATGACTGCTATGGCACTTTCCAAACAGAAGATCTGGGAGTCTTGCACAACATAGTGACAGTGACCTTGTCTCTTTGCCAGTTTAACCCTTTGCATTAGTTCTGCCCCCTCTTGGACAGTTCCTCCTATGCACCAAGTCCTCTCACTTGCTGTGTGGCTGTGGTTCCCCTGCACTGTGCATGATGCTGATGCTATTCTTGTGAACTATTTTCATTGCACTTATTTATTGTGTGTATGTGTGTTGGTCCATGCATGCTCCAATGCACACGTGGAGGTCAGAAGGAAACTTATGGGAGCTGATCTCACTTTCTACCATGTGGGTCACAGGGACCAAGCCTGTTTCCAGGCTTGGCAACACGTGCTGTTACCCCCTGAGCATCTTGTAGCCCTTGATACCTGTCTTATTGCCCCTGTACTACTCACGGCATTCTTTGTATGTTCTTATTTCATACTGTCTAGCACAGTAATGACAGCATTATAATGTGTTTTCCATTAACATGTATTATTCCAGCCCAAATAAGAATAGAAACAGCTCTTGAACTAGTGGTGTACCTCAGGCGCTGTTGTAAATCCTCCCATAGGTGATTTCATCATCAGAACACTCTTAATTAAGTTGGTGCTCTGACCCATTAGAGATGAAGGGAAAGTAAAGCCCATAGCAAGAATGTAATGCTTCTTGAACAAAGTCACAGACATATCCTTAAGTCCGACATTCTGTGACAATAGATCTTGGGCTAAGAATATTTGATGCTTTTAATTTAAGGGTCAAAACTGTTGTTTGCTCTTATAATGTCTTTTCTTTGTGTGAAATGGTACATAAAAATAACTTTGTTTAATGGGTACATCTATGTATTTTGGAGATGGTAATTTTTTTAGTGTTTACTGATTATTAAAAAGGTTCAAAGGCAAGCCCACTTTGACTACTATTTGTGTGTGTGTGTGTGTGTGTGTGTTTTCTCCAAGACAGGGTTTCTCAGTGTAACAACCCTGGCTGTCCTGGAACTCACTTGGTAGACTAGGCTGACCTCGGACTCAATGAGATCCACCTGCCTCTAACTACCAAGTGCTTGGGATCAAGGGTGTGTGCCACCACCACCATGCTGGCTGATATGATTTTAACTTGTCAAGGAAAATACCTAGGAACTGAGTGGGGCAGCACACACTGCTGCCCTCAGGAGCCTGAAGCAAGGAGAGCACAAGTTTGAGACCTGCCCAGGCAACATAGTGAGACTTTGTCTCAAACAAACACACACAAAATGTGACCATCTCCTGCTGTATTTCAAAAGAAATAGAAAAAAATAGCTTTCTAGTTAATGTTAAAATTAGTTTGGCCTGGGGCTGGAGAAATGGCTCAGTGGTTAAGACCACTTGCTGCGGACCTGGGTTTGGTTCCCAGCACACACATGGTGACTCAGAACTGCCTTTAACTTTAGTTCCAGAGGTGCCAATTCCCTCTTTCTGGCTCCTCAGCCAAAAGGCACAGCACGGATGTGGTACACGAACAGTCAAAGCATTCATACACATGAAATAAAAATTATTAAAACTTTAAAAACGAGGCATTTACTTTATGAATGTTTGTGTACATGTAAGTGAAGCACCACAGTGCACTGGATCCCTGGAGCCAGAGTTATGGGTAGTTATGAGCCCACCATGTGGTTGCTGGGAGTCAAATCTGCCTCCTCTGCAAGAGCAGCCAGTGCTTGTAACCACTGATCCATCTCTCCTGAATTGTTTTCAATTAATTTGGTTCAGTTAGCCTATAACAAGCCTGAATATTTCATAATCATTATTACTGCATTGGAAAAAATGTATTTCATCATTCTTGAATAATGACTTTAAATAATTGCTTAACATTTTTAGGTTATATACCTGTTGGTATCTTCAAATAACCATAGTTTGATCCTCGAAATGAAACACCATCTTTTGTGCAAAAGAGAAATGTAACCTCTGTTCATTCAGTTTGTGCTTTGATACAGCAAAGATTCTGTGTGATGCCCACTGCACACACACATGCACACACATGCACACCTGCTGTACACCCACTGCACACCTGCTGTACACCCACTGCACATCTGCTGCACACCCACTGCACATCTGCTGCACACCCACACCTGCAACCTGCTGCACACACACCTGCTGCATACCCACTGCACACCTGCACACACACCTGCAACCTGCTGCACACCCGCTGCACACCTGCACACACACATGCACACCTGCTACACACACACTGCACACCTTCTGCACACACACATACACACACACTGCACACACACACTGCACACCCGCTGCACACCTGCTGCACACACACACTGCACACCCGCTGCACACCTGCTGCACACACACACTGCACACCTTCTGCACACACACATGCACACCTGCTACACACATACTGCACACCTGCTGCACACACACACTGCACACACACTGCACACCTGCTACACACACACTGCACACACATGCACACCTGCTACACACACACTGCACACCTGCTGCACACACACACTACACACCTGCTGCACACACACTGCACACCTGCTGCACACCCAATGCACACCTGCTGCACACACACACATACCTGCACACGCACACACACACATGCATGCACACACTCACACCCACACTCACACCTGCTGCACACCCTCTGCACACACACATGCACGCTCACTGCAGACCCAGCCTCTTGCTTAATCCCATAGTTTGTAAGTGTCGTAACAGTCCATCTCCACTGCATCTTCTCAGACACCCTCCCTCCTGGGGTGTGTGTGACATGTCTGTATGATGGTTGTGCTGGGGAGAATGTACTATGACTACCCGATTGTGCCTTTTCCCACAGTTTAGTTCTTTAGGTCTGGGACCTTTGGATTCTTTGTAACTCCAGCTGTCTCGAAGACACTTGATCACATGTGCCCAGCGATGCTGGTTTCCTGATGTAGTTGAACAGAATGGGAAGGCCTAGGAAAATGGGTAAAAGTTAATGTGCAGCTGTGAACTATAATGTAAAACTTCCACTAAAACTTATAGAAAAGCAGATTTTAGAAACAGCATTAATGTAGAAATGACTTCTCTTTTATATCTACTAGGAAGATATTAATGATGAAAAGTCTTCAAGTCACCTTAAATCTGGGGACTCTAAATTGAGTTCATTGAAAACATGTAAGAGCTGTGAGGATGATCCACAGTGGTCCATCCTGCAGCCCAAGGATGCAAAGGATGAAAATGAGGTAAGAGGAGGCGAGATGGTTTTTAAATTCATTATTTCAATCATCAGCCTTTAGGTGCCACTGTTTTCATCTGTGAGGGTTACTGTATGACACGGATTACAAATGGTCTCCTTTCAGTCACCAAGGCCACAGTATGGAACATGACCCAGTCACAGTAGAGGAAGGCTCTGTCTGGGCTGGATAGTATAGGTTACTACCCAGGATCTACCCAAGTATGGCAGTGTGGTCAAGTCTTGAGAAGTAATATTAGAAAAACTCATCATGGAATATGTTTACATTTGGGGGGGAACACATTTTATTTTTATTTTAGCCAAGCATTTATATGCACACAGCCTAAAGTCCTTCATGACCCCTGCATTTTTCTGTTTTCTAAAATATTCATTTTCATCTCTTTGAGCTGTGGTTTTGAAATTTGCCTTTAATTATTTCATTAAATAGTATATTTATTTCCTGATCCCCCCATTGTGTCTTTGGATTTCTTGGCATGAAAGATGAGGGTGAAGTTTTTGTGTTTCATCCTTCCATCCACCACCCATAAACTTAACTTTCCTTCCCCTCCCTGCCATCTACCTTAGTCCAGTATGTCAAACTTCATTGAGCACTCAGTACTTATGAATGTAAATGCTGTTTTCTGCTGAGTAGTATGCTACGATACTTTTCCTATGTACTTTTAAGTGATATTTTTGTTTGTTCTTTGAAAACTTGATAAAATATATTTTTATTGTATTCCTTCTGCTTCCCTAACTGCCTCTGGATCCTCTCCCACCTCCCTGCCCAGGTGACTTCATGCTCTTTTTCTTTCTTAAAAGAAAATGGAATCCAGCTTGGGTTGGGCAGCTGCTCCTGAGCGTGTGGCCTTCCCTGGAGTGTGCTGGCACCTCACTGAAGAAGCCGATCTTCCCTTTTCCGTCAGCTCTCACCTGAGCCTGGCTTCTGGGGTAGAGGTGGGGATTTGTGCCCCTCCATGCTTTCCCTCCTCCAAGCTCAGATTATCGTCTGGAATGAGTTTGTGGGAGTCTTATGCGTGCTGTCATGTATTTTATGCTGGTATTTCTTCCTTTTCAAATTCACTGCAGTACACTGACTTTATACTGATGTACTTTCCTGTCAGTTTTAAACGTGTGTAGCGTATGTATTCAACACAACAGTCGGGATGCAGGGTAGCTCCAATCTCCTGCATCAAATAATTGTCCAAATAATTGTCACAATCTCCTCACATTCCTGACCTGTAGCAGCTGTCATACACAAGTTTATTGTGGACCTGAGTTTCATTTAACAAAGAAAATGGCCAAGGGTAGGACTGGTGGCAGAAAATACCATCTACCTTAGTCCAGTATGTCAAACTTCATTGACCACTCAGTACTTATGAATGTAAATGCTATTTTCTTCCTTTTGAATTGTTTCTCCTAGAAATTTTGTCTGGGCGATGGAAAGCTGGCTAATACAAAAACCTTCATTTCTCCCTTTTATTCCACATTCAGTTTTACTTTCCAAAAATCCCTCTGGAAGATGCTCTGGTCTCCAGCAGAAGATGAGTAGTTGCCTGAGTCCTTGGAGAGTAGGGCAGGATATCCGGAGTTTCAGTTGCATCTTACCCTGACTTTCACTCCATGCGCTTGTTTTTATTCCCTTTTTACTCTCACCCTGAAGAATTTTGTTCTGAGGTTTTGCTCTTTACTTTAAAAGCTCCTGAATTTTTATGGTCTCTCTCTCTCTCTCTCTCTCTCTCTCTCTCTCTCTCTCTCTCACTACCTATCTTCTTCTCCCTCTCTCCCTCTCTCCCTCTCTCCCTCTCTCCCTCTCTCTCTCTGTGTGTGTGTGAGTGTGTGTGTGTGTGTGTGTGTGTGTGTGTGTGTGTGTTGCATCTCAGTTTTTCCCACTGTACACTCTGAAGTGTGATCAGTTAGGAATCCAGTAATCAGTTATGAAGTCTGATTTCCTACACCCAGAACATAGAGAGCATCTTCTCTCCTTGCCTCTTTAAAGTATTCTGTATTTAAACTTGGAGCCAGGAAAATATTATGCACTTAATATTTAAAATGTGTTTGTTGGGAAATATAAATAATAGTGTTTCTCTGTCTTCTGATATATTCCAGGATGAGATCCCTACTGGAATGCCATGCCTGGAGTCAGTGACCATTGGCGATGATATTTGGGATGAGAACTGGCTCCCTCTACAGGCTAAAATGGGAAAGGGCGGGAGTCCTGCCTCTCATCTGTTTACTTCAAGCCTTGTTGGGAAAAAACAGTATCAGTCACATGGAGATATGCCACAAAAGGTTAGATTTTTGGTAAAATAAACAGCAAATTACTGTTGATAATTTAAATCCAGTAGGCCTGGCTTCTAGAAAGTTGCACATGCAGGAATTCAGAAGGATTTGTCTATAGTTTAAAACAATATGTGATTTCTTTCTTTTATATTTGATGTAGGTAAATGATAGGTGCTCAGGAAAAGTCTAGCTAAAAGAGTGGTATTAAATTCCACAATGTTGTATTTATTTTTGTGAGACCCAAGTGTTGAAGATATAGTGCAGACTTAGAGGGAAGAAGTCACACTGACAGAATCAGCCAGTACATGCTTTGTCATTTAAAACACTTCCATGTCACCACCTTATCGTGCTTTGAGGTCTCATGCTGCCATATCTTGATTTAATGTTGCAATTTTTTTCTTTCTAGGACTGGTGTTTTTCTACATCTAAAGATATATGGGATGACTCATGGCAGCCCTTAGGCCTTGCAAATGACATGAAAGGAGGAATTCAAACACCAGAAAGGCCCATTACTCAAGAAAAAAATACCGGCACGACCAGAATTCGAAAGGTAAAATTAATTAGCATTATTGTGACCAGTTATATGATTAATCACTTTCATTCTTAGAAATTGTGGTTAATGTATGCCCTTCTGCATCTGTTAATCAAGACAGTCACCCCCCAGACATGTTCCCATAGGCCATCTGGTCAAAGCAGATCTTCAGTTGAGGCTTTCCTCTTAGATGCTGGGGCAGTGGTTCTCAACCTTCATAACACTGCGGCCCCTTATTATAGGTCTCACGTTGTGATGACCTCCAATCATTCTTTTGATGCTACTTCATAACTGTAATTTTGCTACAGTTGTGAATCATAATGTAAATATATGCTTTCCAGTGGTTTTAGGCAACCCCTGTGAAAGGGTCATTGACCCCAACGGGACCTTGACCCACAGGTTGGGAACCACTGCTCTAGGCTGTATAGGTTGACAAAGTTTTCAGCTCACATTGATCCTTGCTCCATATAGTCCTCTCTGGTTTTTACTCCGAAGGCCTTTGACACCCTTGCTGAGAGAGAGCCTGGTCAGGTTACTCTTCACCTTGATGAAGCACAGATTCCATTCTCTGTCTTTTAGCCTACCGGCTGCTGGTATCTGTAGATTGTCATGGACTCTTACTCTCTGAATTTGCAACTTTGGACTTGGCAGATAACTTCAGAGAATTTGAGCAGAATGTTCAACTGTTCTCTCCTCTCTTTGTCTGGGGTGGGTGTATCAAGACCTGGATGCAGAGTCAGACTCAGGATCTGCTCACGCTCATTAGCCTGTAAGACTGCAACTTCTCTTTGGACCTCAACCCTGTTCCGGATAGGAGAGCACCTTAGTAGAAATGGTGTGGTGTCTATGGAACCCTTTTCATTTTCTCTGACTGCTTGTTCCCCAGGATTTTCAAATATTATAATTCAAATCTAAGTTGTCCCGTGTTTACAGTGCAGTGAAATTGAGGGTGCCATGACTAGAACTGCAGTCTTACTAACATTTGTGTAGCTTATATCTTCACACCAAGGAATCAGGATTTGTAAACCAGCTGTAGCTGGATCTCCTGGGCTTTTAATAACCATACTGTGGGCCTTTTCAGTTAGTGACAGTGCATTTCCCCAATGTTAGCCTGTAAGGCATGTGAATGGCACAGTAATTCAGAGTTGTCTCTATGTGTTTAGCTCTTGTGGTGTATTATCTCTGTGATCTCTCTCTCTCTCTCTCTCTCGTAGAGAGAACATTGCCGATAGTACTTAAGCGCTTCCTGTGTACTGCCGCTGTTCTAGGTGCATTAATACATCCCTGTTGGTTCATTTAATCTTTCTTAAGAAGTACTGTTAATCATCATTTTAAATGAGGAAATACAGATATTAAGTTGCCAAAGGTTTTTATTACTAACTAGCTATCTTAGTCTCTGTTCTGTTGCTATGATGAGACACCATGACCAAGGCAGCTCTTAGAAGAGAAAGCATTTATTTAATTGGGGTCTTCTTACAGTTTCAGAGGATTGGTACATTGTCAGTCATGGCAGCACACAGGTAGGCATGGGTACTGGAGAAGTAGCAGAAAGGGTTATGTCCTCATTTGCAGGCAGAGAGAGGCACAGTAGGCCTGGCATGGGCTTTTGAAACCTCAGAGCCCAGTGACACAGCTCATCCAACGAGGCCACACCTACTCCAATGAGGCCACACCTCCTAATTCTTCCCAGACAGTTCATCAACTGGGGATTGTGTGTGTGTGTGTGTGTGTGTGTGTGTGTGTGTGTGTGTGTGTGTGTGTGAGTGTGTGTGTGTGTGTGTGTGTGTGTGTGTGTACATGCATTTGGGGGCCTGCCTTATTCCAGCCACCACAGTAGTGAAGGTATTCCATACGGTTGTGTTCGGCATATAGTAAGCACATATTCTATAAAATAGTAATAATTATGTAGCAATGGTAATGTTATTAATAAACCTAATATGGGCTAGGAACCAAATACCGGGAAAGTCTTAATTTGTTTTTAAGAATTGTAACAATTTGAAGATAGGCCTGTGTATTAAAGATAGGCCACTCTGAAGTGTTTCTGACATAGGAGATAACTCAGACCTGTAATTTAGACTTCCTATAGAGGCCATTTACAAAACTCTACAAGGAAAATCCTGGCTGTAATTGCTAACATTGGAGGGTGGTCACTGAGAAGAAATGTCAGTAATGTGTTAGGAGAATGTGCAGTCACTTCAGTAAACCTTGCCCACTATTATGAGAAAATCAGATGCAGGAGTTTCATTCCTGGATCAGCATCAACTTAAGGGCTGTAGGCATTAGAAGGAACAATGCTCTGTTGCTTTAAGGCACATGTGTTTTGTTCCTTCAAAGTGTCATGTGCCAAGGGTGTGGTCCCTGGTATATGGAGTGTTAAAAAATGTTGGGCCTAATATGATGTAATTCGGTCACTGGGGACACTAATTGTAGGTGTAATATATGTATATGTATACACATATATATGTATATTATATATATAATACACATATATGCAATAGATACATATTATACTTTATATATTATACATACAATTTGATCAACTTTATTCATCTTACTGCTTTAGTAGATTATCTTCTAGTTTGATTAATGGAGGTCTTATCCTTGTGTCTGCTGAAAGAAAAGGTACCTTAATAGGAGGGAACCACAGCATATCTGAAGTTGACCCAGAGTTTTAGAAAGCAGTAAGCTTGGGATGAAGTCAAAAACATGTTCTTTTCTATCCCCAAAACTGTCAATGCAAGTTGAATCAGGAAGCGTGGTAGTCTATTAGCCCAGAGCCCTGTGTCCAGCCCAGGGACATTCTGGCAGCAGATTCTGGAAAAGTCCAAACTGTTCACAAGAAAGTGTCCAGGCTTGCTTCTTTAACAGAAAAAGGCTCACCTTCCCTTCACAGGTTTAGCTGCTAAATTTGGTGTGCATTATTTTATCCAGCTACAGTTGAGAATTATTGGCCTCTTGTTCCTTTTTGAATCATGAGCTTTCTTTGGAATCTGTGGTATCACTTTTTCCTCCTGGTATCTTAGCACAATTCCTAGGCTGGCTGTTTGTAGAGTTCTGTCCTACCCTTTTGCTATTTGCCAGGGTTTGCATGTATCTTGTGGATAATCTGATAAATATGTAGTAACTCTATATTTAACATTTTGAGAAACTACCAGGCTGTCTATAGTGGCTGTACCTTTTTGCATTTTTTACCAGCAATTTGAGTGCTTCAGTTTGTCTATGTTCACATTAGCAGTGTTGATGCCTTTTAACATCACAGAAGATAATGGTCCTGAGTTACCACACTGAGCACATGGCAGGAAGGAGGGTCTGACCCCATTGTGTGGTAGCATTCAGTACCCATTTGTTCATAGAAATATCAATAAAGATTTCTTAAATTGAATTTTGATATTTATTAAAAATATAGAACTAGAGTTTGCTTTTTCCAGAGTTTTACTTTTTAATTATGATCTAAAGAAGAAAGCATGAAGGGTGTGGTTCTTGTTTTACTGACAAGTCACTTTTCTTGCCTATGCCCCATTTCTCCTATTTTGCAGCAAGAAGATTTACAGTATCCTCTAGACTCTTCCACCCTGCCCAAACTGGAAGAGTTCTACATCTCTCTTATCAAGTCACAGCAGTCGGCAGAAGGGAGCCAGCCTGAACCTGAGAGCATTCAGACTCAACCCAAGCACAATCTGCTGTCCTCGGTAGTGCCCAGCTCTGCTCCTGCAGGGCTTGACTCTCCAGAAACCCACTCTGGCTCTGGTAGGTTTGCATATCCTGCGCATGCTCAGTTAACAAGTAGGAAGTTGGCCATGTTGCTAACACCTCCATGTCTTGAGAAACATACCTAGAGAGAAGGCCAGTGCTAGCATTTACTCCAAGTTAGAGAACTTGAAGTTCTCTTTAACTCTGCTACTTTCTTTTTTCCTGGCAGTTTTTGGAAGGACTTTACAGTTATCTAATGTTTCAAGTTCATGGCTTTTTAAGTTTTGTCAAATGTGTTCAGTCATGATATTTCTGTTATCCTGAAAGGTTTCCTTGTGCCCTTTGCAGTCAGTCCCCACCTCAGTTTACTGGCCTCTGTCCTGTCGCTGTGCCATTTCTAGAATTACATAGCATGTAGTTTTCATATCTGGCTTATTTCCTTTATCCTATTGTAAGTTTTGTTTCTGTTGGCTATTTATTTGGAAGTGATTTTTCTAGGTTATGTTCACTGCATGTACAGCTTTTTAAACCACCAAATGTGTTCCAGAATGGATGCATTATTCACATGCCTCCCAACGAGGTATGAAATTGCCATTGCTCTACATCCTAGCCTCCAGATGGTATTTAAATTGTTTTTTCAAAACTTGGCCAATCTAGTGGAATGTGAAAGGCTATTGTAACCAATTTGGATCATTCTGTTTCCCATATTAGCCATCTTTCTGTGCTTATATGCCATTATATCTTTAAATTGATGCATTTATACTAATAAAATCTTACAATAGTATGCATTTTCCATCCCAACCTGTTACACATTTTACTCTTTATAGTCAGTTTTTAAAGTAAATTAAAAAACAAGAAAGCATTTTATTCTATTTGCTTACATATTTTCTTTTCCAGTACCCTTTATTCTAGAGTTTAAATGAGGGTTCTACAAATCTTTGCTGGAGAGTGGTAGACTAGTAGTTTGTATAGCATTCACAAGACCTTGAGTTTGGTCTCTGGCACCCCCAAATATACATATCTCACTTTTGTGGGCCTATGATCTGTGCTACAGTACAAAAACAGTTGTAGACAAGAATTAAGTGAAACTAAAACCACAGAGCTGGAAACGGTTAAACACTGAGGCCAGTTTCCTGTAAGTCCTTCTTAAAGACTGGGATTACACCCAGGTCTTAAAGACTGGGTCACTGGTTCTATAGCTCATTGATAGCTCTTTATTCACAGCCTTGCTCTCTATGGGTGGTGTCTGTCCTGTGTCCCGAGTGTCCCAATGTGGACTTTGATCTCAGATACTCTGTTCTTCATCTCCACATTTTTGTTTGGAGTCTTTACTTTCCATCATGTTTACAAATGTCTTTCCTCTTAACTATATCAAGTGTCTTGGCATCTGTTTTAAGGCATTTATCTTGTTCTTTCTGAAATTTATCATCTGTGTCCACTTTGGATCTGTTTCTCCCAATTCCAATTCAGAGTCTGCTTCTTTAGAGTTTATGTTGTCTGGATTCCTTCCTTTTGTCTTTTTTTAGGGATGGGGATGTGGTAGTCACATTTCTCAACATTGGTTGCACACACCTCTAGTGTGTTGCCTTAGAGTCGCTCCCACAGCACTGCTCTCAGCAGAAGTGTTGTTCAATGTTTGTCCAGTTTCCTAATTGTTCAAGGTAGCAGCAGGGTAAATGATGGATTCCTGATCAACATTGCAGCTCTCTATACCAGCATGTATCTTTCCTTTCATATATTTATGTCTTTTTCTCTATAGTGGGCATTACTTATAATTTTATGGTCAGAATATTATCTTTGTATGTTAAGCACATAACACATGATATTCCTGGTACTTGTGATAAGGGATTGGATCGCACTTGCTTTTCTCTGAAGTTACTGAAATTTATGTTTAGAGAAAGCACTGCTAGTCTGTCAAGTGTTTGCAGACAGTATAAGAGGAGTTTGTGCAGAATGTCAAACTGACTACATTGCTGAACAGATTGGAGTTCACCTGAATTTTTTAAAGCAGGGTTTCTGTTTGTTTCTGTTTAAGATAGAGTCTTCCTTGCTCTGGGGCCCATGCTGGACTGAACCTTGCCACATAGTTCAGACCGGTCTGGAATTTACTAACATCCTGATTCTCCCTAGTGCTGAGATTACAGGTGTGTGCCCAGCATGTCCCATTAAAGCTCAAGCAGGACCTTGTGGATTAAAGCCAAGTTGGTTCTCTGCCCCAAAACATTACAGTTCTTCTCTCACAGTAGGATGCCACCTTGGGTAGCATTGGTCTGGAAGCCAGCTTCTTAAAACTGTGAGGGGTAAAAATGTACAGTAGTAAAAGGCCATGAACACGCAACAATCAAAACTCAATCCAAACATTCTTAAGATTTACTTAATGTATATGGTGTACTGTCTTCGTGTATACAAGCACACCCTAAGAGGGGCTTGGATCTCATGGGACTAGGGTTGTGTGAGCCACTATGTGGATGCTGGGAATTGAACCAGGACCCCTGGAAGAGCAGCAGTGCTCTTAACCGCTGAGCCATGGCTCCAGCCCTCATTTCAAACTCTTAGTGAATCCATGGTGCTTGTGGTGCACTCCCCATGCTGCCTCACAATTTTTCACTGCAGCCTTCATCCCTGTACACTTAAGATGAATGTGCTGTGCATGCCAACACACCATGCAATATGACCTGGCCAACAAATGCTCTCTGAAACACCTTGGCACAGAATTGAGATTAAAGTTGTTATGAATTGCAGTGTTTTTATTGTACAAAGTTTTCTGCTCTTACAGAAACAGTGGTTTACCAAAAAAGGTGACGGCTAGGAGCTAGATGTAACTCAGTTAATAGAGTATTTGCCTTGCATGCACAAAGCCCTGGGTTCAAGCTCAGACGCTCCATAAAACCATACAAATCTATAGTCTCAGCACCTAGGAGACAAGGGCAGGAAGATCAGGAGTTCTGCAGAGTGAGTTCCAGAGGCTACGATGCCCTGTATTCAAACAAAAACAAATACAACATAATGGTTTAATTATAGAAAATAGAGGTTTTTATTTACTATTACCATTGTCATTCCTAAATATCAAATTAGTGTGTCTTTGGATTAGATTACATTAGAATGTTTGAGTTACTGATGAGTTTCATTTAGAAATGGAATGAATTTTGCCATTAGGGTAAGGGTAGAATTTCCAACAATTTCTGAAATGGTCTAAAACATTCTTGTTATTTTGTAATACATAGTAAACATTGAAGATGCCCTTGAAGTATTCAATAGATTCAATCCTCTGTGTAAAAATTAAGTACATCCATCATATTAGGTGCATATTTGATTTTGTCTTTAATAATCAGAAATTTACATGTATACCAAAGACTATTTAAGAATCAATTTATTATCAGTAAACATTTGATTTATATGCCTGTTTTATATAGCAGGGCCCTTAAACTCTCGTGCAAAAAAGCTAGTACAGGTGTAGCGTGTTCATTTACGATTGTGTAGCAGTCCCATCCTTGGTTCTTAGGAACTCTGGATGGAGCGCTAGAGCCTCCAGCATTTTCAGTTGCTCACGTGGTTATTTCTAATTACAGAAGTCAACACAGAAGGTTGTTAGTAGGTGGCCTTTTACAGCGTTGCTGCGACTCTGGTAGACTTGAAATTAGAACCACTTGACAATAGAGAATGCCTGTAGAGTATCATTTTGTTTTGTGCTGGAAAAAAAATAAGGGAGCGCTGAGCTTCTCTCTGGGATTTGAGCTTCATCCAGCTCATTTTCTGACATTCCTAAGAGGAAGCCTTCTTTTGCTCACTCATGTCTCTCCCTCTCTTAGCCCTGAGTCTCATAACTGTTTATCTTATGCTAATAATGCAAGATTCACTTCCTCCCTATTCTTGGCTGTTTTCTGAGTAGCAGCCCTCTCACTGGTGGTTGTTGGGAGCCAGGAAAGGCTGTAACCCATGCTGGTAAAGAACTGGACTGGGAGAAGCAGGCAGTGAGTTGGAGAACTTCTTGAAAGGACTCTTTTGTTTTTTCTCTTTTGTAGTGGAAAGCTCTCCAGGGAGCCTAAAGAATGAAGATTTTTCTAGTAGCCATGCTGACACGGTGGTCAAGGACAAGAGTCAAGGAGCCATAGACCAGCTCTCTTTCATTTTGTCCCCCCAGCACCAGATTTCTCAGAAGCTCTACATTCCTCGAAGCACAGCCACGGCTGTCTTGGGAGCTGCTGCGCGGTTAGCCACGTCCAGGAGCCTCCTCCACTGGTACCCCAGTGTGAAGGGATGGAAGCTTGAGGGACAAGAGGCGGAGAAAGATGAAATGAAGTAGCATTTGGGTAGTGATCGCTGGGTCTTTCTGTATGCTAGCTTTGTTTTGCTAACTGACCACTTTGATGTGTAAGTATTGATATTTTATGTTAATTTTTATTTTTGTTCATGATTTTACTTCATTTCAAATGTTTTGTTTCACATTTGTTTTAATGAAGTAATTTGAAGGAGTTTGTGTATGTTTCTGTAAGTGTTTTTCTTGTACATATCATGACTGATAAATGAATATTGAAAAACCACTGTTTTGTGATCTATATTTAGTCAGACAAAAGTATTTTCACATCTCTGTCACACAGTAGCCTGTCCAAGCAAGGAGTCCCTGCCATAAGCCTAGCCAAAGCATCATGCCTCTAAATCCGGAACCTATTGGCTGAAGCTGCCAACTTCTTCAGCTTGTTAGCCCCACTCCTAGAATTACATTTGCATAAATTTTCCATTGTTGTTTAAACTTAGGAAGTCCCTAGGGCCTTCTCATTTCACAGGTTGTAGGATTAGCCCAAGAGATCAGTACTCTCTCTCTATTGGTTTTAGCATCAGGCTTTTCTTAACCCATTTTATCTCCTTCAGCACTGGAGCTTCTGTCTTCTACATTCTATTTCCCAGTGCTTTTTCTCCTCAAACTGCACATTTTGAATCTTTGACCCACTTGCTCCTTTTCACCATCGATCTGCCTAAGAGTGATCACTAATGAAACTGTGGCACACAATCAATACTAGGCTGTCTTAATCTCTACCAACGACAGTAATTCAAAACTCTTCATTTAGCCTCAGGCAGATTTTTAGGCCGGAGTAAAAATAAGCCACATTTTTTCCCAAAATATAATGGTTTCTAGACGAGCCAGCAATATTCCTTCCTCCTGAATCCTCTTGAACTTGGCCTGCGTGGTCCACATCGCCCTCAGCGCTATTGTCTTCCAGGTTCCTGCTAGGGTGGCCCACTAAACTCCACTTAGAGTGTCCAGTTGCTTTATTCCTTCAACAAATAGCTTGGTCAGGCCTCTCAGAAATACTCTAGTCACTGATACTAACTTCTGTCTTTGCTGCTCTGTTTTTTTTTTTTTTTTTTTTTGCTTCGACGAGACACCATGACAAGGCAACTCATACAAAAGAAACATTTGAGGGCTTGCTTCAGTTTGAGAGGGTTAGTCTATCATCATGATGGCCGGAAGCATAGACAGACTGGGCCTGGCATGGGTTATTGAAAAGTCAGAGCCCACCCCCAGGGCCACACTTCCTCCAACAAGACTACCCCTCTGAATCCTTCAGTTCTACTCCCTGGTGACTTAAGTATTCAAATATATGAGCCTATGGGAGCCATTCTCATTCAAACCTCCACACTGAGTTTCTTCCTTTAAAACTGCAAGTCTGAGTAATAAATACTCTGAAGACAGGGTGACTCTTATGACATTTTAGTCAGTGGAACTGTCTGCCTCTATACTAACAACCAGCTGCCAGGAAGAGCTCTATCAAAGCTCAACTGCCAGACTATAAGTTTGACAACTGGTTTATAAGCTGAAAGCAACTATTGCTCTACCTTGCAAGTTAGAATTAACTGTGCTAAAGCTTTGTAGTTCCTAATTCTGTTGGAAATGTCCAGCTAGACGCCTAGCACCATCTCATCATGGTGACTATCAGCAAGCTTTGAAAGAATCCCATGGAGAAATCAGTCATTCCATGAGTTAGAGTGAAGAATAGACCTTTAACAGGTTTGTACCTTTTGACTACTAGGCCCACATGTCAGTCTCTTCACCTGCCTTGTCCCCAGACATGGACTTTAGGTAGTTAAATAGTCAGAGAAGCAAGCTTGGTAGATGATTTGAAAAAGAAGAATAAGTTCCTGTATATGACCAGGGACAGCAATCAGAAAATATGAAGAAGCTTGATGTGGTAACACATGTCTTCAATGCTAACACTTGTAAAGCTGCCTACGCACAGCAAGACCCAGTCTCAGTAAACAAGTAGAGGGGAGAAAGGGAAGAGAATAAAGAAGTGGACAAAAGATGAAGATGTCCTATGATTTACATTCAACTTCATTTTCTTGTCAACAAATGGGTTGTTTTGTATATGATGAGTATTTGTGATATTAAAGAGCTTTTATTAGCAGAATTGTGTGTACCAATGAGAAGTTAACTAGGAAATAGAAGCTGAGGAGTATGAAAAAGAAACCACTAAGAACATACAAGAAGTTCCTAGTTCTTGACTCCTCAGAGATGCAAGTGGACACACACATCTGAGATGCCCATTGCCCTCCTTAAGACATGGTAATTAGACTAGAGATTTCTGCCTTTATCTCACTTCATCTAACCGAGATGGAGAATTACAGGATTTTGGTACAGGTAGAACCTTGGGTGAGGAAGTGGAAAGCCTGCTTTTCAAAGTCGTATAGATAGCTTAAATACCTGTATCATTTAGCTTCCAGCTCAGTGCCTTTCCTCTGCAAAAACTTACAGGTCCCTTTTGTGTACTATAAACAACACATAACAATAGATGAGTCCAAAAGAGTGTGATTTTGATAGCTGAAAAAAAAAAAGCCTTTGAAATTGATAGGCAACAGGAACAAGTCTGCAAAAGGCCTCATATTCTTGAGCACACAGATAATTTAACCATGAGCCAACTTGCCATGAGCCAAGGTATCTGAAAAGGAGATCAAGAAACATCTCACAGAGAAATCTTTCTAGAACTGCCTGTTCGCATTTATATGCATTTGTATTTTCTAACATTCTATATCTTTTTAGAATTAACCTCAAATCTAGTACCATGAATGAGTGGCACTGGCTATCTTATTCATAATCATCATCATCCCTAAAACACTGAGAATAGTTCATTTCCTGTGTCTCAGTCAGGTCCTGACATTTTTCAGATATCGACCCAAATGCATAGCAGTGTCAGTAAGTCTGTCCATGTACTTTGACTTCAGTACCATTCTTCAATGGTACTGTCTCATTGACTCACCACCAATCTGCCTTACAAAGTTTTGATACCATTAGCTTACCTGAAGTTCTCGAAACACTTTTGTTTTAACCATTCACACAGAAAGCACGAACTGTTCAGTTAAGGACATCTGTAATATGTAGTAATACAAGTAATGTGTGTAGCTCTTCCCATGTGAAGTCAATTCTTGGACTTACACCAAATTCTTCTTAGACACTTTATAAGCCTGGTGTGGTAGTACATGCCTATAACCCCAGTCTCTAGGAGACTGAAGCAGGAAGGTCATGGAGAGTTCAATGCCAGCCTGGGCTACTTAGTGAGACCTTGTCTTGCAACAGCAACCAAGTCTTTCTGTTGGGTCTAAATTTTGCTTTCTGTTAAAATAAATTCCTTTAATTTATGGAAAATGGATATAAATAAAACTGTTCAATTGTTTAACAATCTCTGCTTTCAACTTTGGTTACATAATGGAAAGTGCATGGGATTAAAGAAGGAAGATTAACTTATTCTTGGGAGCATGTAATAGCATTTTCTTTAAATATTTATGGAGAGTTCAGGTTTTTGTCAAAAATGTCTGGATGCTTCTTAAGTTTTTGTGTTGATTCTGAAATATTGAATATGTGACCCAGATAACTTCTTAGTTGAGTAAAATACAGAATTTATGTAGTTAGAAAAGTAGACTTAACCTTCTTGACTAAACTGTTTGTCCTCCTTTTTGGCATGACCTTTGCAAGCCTTTGTTGTATTATAATCCTCTTCCATGAAACTGGAAATCATTTGCTGTTGGCACACATAAGTCCCTGGTAGCTGCATTTCAAAGACTAGTCTTATTTACAGCAATGTGTCAAGCCCCTGTAAGGTACTATCTAGGCTTTTTAAGTCCCTTTGTCCTCCCAACAAGCAAGCTCTTCTTTGCACTGCCATACGGTAGTCTTCCTTTGCTCCACAGAGCCTGCAATCCAGCTCTGCCTATTACAGATTGTTTCCAGGTGGTTCTAAATTCCAGAACTTTCCCTTCGTCTGTCATCCCAGGAGGCATAAGTAGAAGCCATAAACTAGTTCCCACTCATTTCTTACTAGAACAAATTACCCCTTGCCAAAGCTTTTGTCTTCTGTAGTGTGGTCTCTGATGGAAGCTCTCTGGTGATGCTCCATATGTGAAAACAGCTGGATAAACTTATGGATGCCATTTCAGACACTAACAGGCAAAGAAGAGCCAATGGAATATCACCTCAGGATGATATTCATGTCTTCATGGATGCCTCTTTCTCTCCAGTGTTGAAACTTAAGCATACACAACATGGGCCCGAGTCAGAAGTAGAAACTGGGCTGGGGTTAGCGGAGTGTGGAACATGGCCTGGTGTGACTGGGCCTTGCTTCGTGTCCCTAGCACTGCAGACGAGGATGGAAATGTGTTGTTTTGTTGTTACAGAGTAAGGAAGTTGAGAGTAGATGGGGGTGGGGGGTGCGTTTGAGTGTAATTAAGAGGCAACTTCTATTGCATAATTCAGGCAGCGGGGCAGGGCATCTCTTTGTGGTCAGATACTCTGCAGAAACCTTTTTGGCCGCTGATGCTTTAGGTTCCCACCATTGATGACTATCCAGCTGCTTCTTGTAACCGTACATTGGTTACAGATGCACGGGGCTCAGCAAGATCACTTCCAACACTTCTGACAAAAGTGGTTGCTGTTGGACCTCCTCTCATGGGTACCAACACCCCCCACACCCCACCCTACCAGTGTCTGGCATTACTAAAAGATTTCACTACTGAACCCGGAAAAAGTCCTAAAACGTGGCGCTTGAGATGCAGCTGATGCCGCTCTTTCTAGCCGCTCAGCCTCTCCTCTCTGGACTCCTGACTGGGTTCATTCCCCCAAGTCCTGGGTTCTGGCCCCTTCTTTTGACTCCTGCCCCTTCTCTTCGGCTCTTTCCCTTATTGCTAATAAGATTGTAGATTCTCGGTCTAAGGACTCAGGCATTACGCTGGCCAGCCCCTGTCACCTGCAGAATGCACTCAGGCAGTACCCTGGTCAGCCCAGGGATCCATGATCTGCACGCAGGTGCAAAGGACCCCTTTAAAAGACAGACATCCCACCAACCTCCCCTAGCCCACTTAAGCTCTTTCATGCTCTCTTCCCCGCTGTTCCCCTGGGGCAGACAGGACTTTTCCTATCACCCTCCTCTCTGTCAGTGTCTTTACCTCTTTTTTCTTTCCTTTCCCCTCCCCCCTTCTAATAAAACTTCTCACTTAAGCTCTGTCTGCCTGGCGTGTTTGTCACCCGCCTTGGTCAACCTCGCCCAACATGGAATCCGCCAAGGTCCCCCAGGCAAGGTTCCCCTCAAGCTTTATCACAGTACTCCACAACCCTATTCCCTATTCCCAGCACTGTGCCAGAGGCTCTCTGCCAGGCTTGGATCCGAGTCCATCGCCCTGGCCCACCGGTCGCTTAGGATGCCAGGGTCATCGGCAGCTGCACGAGGCTCACAGACACACCTGATTGCTCTCTCGATCCTATCCCGGAGGGGCGGCTCCAGGAGGGTCACACCTATCCCTGTGACATTTGGGGCATGTTGAAGTCCTTTTCAAAAGTGACCAGGCCCCTCTCTAGTCCACTGTCCACAGGACACCCAGACTCACATGAATTACATGCTCTTGATACACAGATACTGGCCCCCGAACTCAGAGGTCACCAGCTGACTGCCTGGCGTGGGATGACAAGGACGGCTTGACCCAGTTTCAGCAGGAAGTAGCCAGGGTTGAAGACAGCGCCCATAACACCTTCTCCTAACCCCTATTTCATAAAGTTAGTTTTGTTTTTTTAAAGAGAATTGTATTATTCATTCTTATGCAGGAGCATATGATGTTAGTCTTTTAAACGGTGGGATGTAAAAAAAATTCGAAGAGGGTAAAAGTCCCCAGATCCCATAACTAAGCTGAGCTTACTGGTGTTAACCTAGCAGCCCGTGAGCACTAGCCAACACTAATTGACCGTCTCATTAATTTAACACAGTAGGCTTGTGAGAAAGTGGTTGAGGCAAGAGGAAGTACCTACCAGAGGTTTCTCCCGACCAGGTGGG